ATTTAACCATTTAACTCTTGTGAGTTAAATGGTCGCCTCCCCAATCAGCGTCACATACACCTGTAAGTTTGTGGTCTGGCTTGGTGAATTTTAGGCCAAGATCAATAGTGCAACTCAGATAACGAAGAATCCTCTTCTCTGCATTCCATACACACATATTTGGTTTGTCCAAGAATCGAGATAAATAAGAAACACTATATGCAATATCTGGTCTAGTAACCAAAGACAGATACATTAAACTACATACCAATCTTCTATATGGAACACTATCTACCTCTGTCATAGTCATGTCCACTTGAAAATTTACTTCCATTGGCGTTGCTACTGGTCGAGTCTCCCCCATGCCAAATTCTTCTAAAAGTCTGGTAATCATTCTCTTTTGGGTAATTTGTCCATGCCAAGAAATGTCTTAACTTCTGACATTGTTTTAACCTTAAACTCCTGATGAGTTTCTTCACCTGATCTTCGGGTCCAATGATAAGAGCATCATCAACAAATAATGCTAGCGACATATTGCCATTCACATATAAACAATAGTCATATTGGGATCTTCGAAAATTTAAACTACTCATAACTTGGTTAAATTTCATGTTTCAACATTTGGGTGCATTTCGTAGTCCATATAAAGCACGTTTTAATTTTAAATACCTAGACTTCGTTTTCAGACCGTCTGGTGCTTTTATGTACACTTCATTGTCTAAAATTCCATTGAGAAATGCAGTAGGAACGTCAATTTTGTGCAGTTTCTAATTATTCTGCAAAGATACTGAAATAAGTAGTCTTATTGTAGCCAATCTACATACCGGTGCGTAACTGAAGTTGTCATTTTCGGTATAAGGTACTTGAAAACCTCTTGCAACCAACCTGGCTTTCCTCGTACCACCTTCTTTCACTTTGAATATCCACTTTGTGTCTATAGCTTTATGACCTTCAGGAAGTTCTGTGGGAATCCATGTTTGAGAATTTTCATGAGCTCGTATTTCCTTTTCTATGGCTTCCCTCCAGTCTGCAGTTTTACAAGCTTCTTCATAACTTTTGGGTTCATCTTCTGCTGATGTAAGTAAACAATATGCACTGTAGATTTCATAGTCACTTAGTGTTTTTGGTCTCACCAGTCTTCTTCCATGTGTTGTTATTGTCATATTGTTTATTGGTAAACATTCATCATGTTCATCACTACTTGAGCTATCAACTCTTTCTTGTAACTCACCATCCCTTTGAAATTGTTCTTCATCCTGGGTGTCATCTATTTTATTTAGTTCTCTCTTTTCTATATCCTCTTCTTGATCAGGTAAGTATACTGTGTTTTTTTTACTTCTGTTGACTTTTCTGTATCTTTCTTCTCATGGCTAATTTTACACTCCATTATACTTTCATCAAATCTTACATCTCTGGATTTTATTGTTTTCTGCTCCTGTGGTAACCACAATCTGTAACCGCCACCACAATATCCAACCATGACCACCTTCCTTGCCTTAGCATCTAAATTATTACTCTTTGGTAATATGGTATACCAGGCTCGACAACCAAAAATCCTGAGCTTGCTTAGGTCATTTCGCCCATGCCAAATTGTAGAGGGTGTTATTCCCCTAGGTAGAACTCTAGTTGGAATTCAATTTAATTCATATACCGAACATTTTAGAGCCTCATGCCATAGTGATTTTGGGATACCCGAATCAATTATCTTGGTTCTGACTTTATCCAGTAAAGTTCTATTCATGCGTTCTGCTTTCCCATTCTCTTGGGGTGTATATGCCATGGTATACTCCAGTGTGATACCCTTTTGTTTACAAAAATTTCTAAAACTACTGGAAAGAAATTCACCTCGATTGTCTAGTCTAAATGCTTTAACCTTGACTTGATTTTGCCTTTCAAGATCTCGAACATACTGTACCAGATTTTCACTAGCTTCATCTTTGGTTTTTAAAATTCTGATTGTTAAGAAATGAGAATAATCATCTAATATAGTTTTGAAAGTACTTACTACCATCTTTAGTTTGTGGATTGATTGGTCCGCAGACATCACTATGCACTAAATCTCCTATAGCTGTGGTTGTCCTTTTACTTCTCTCAAACGGACACCTTGTTGCCTTGCCCTCCATACAACTGCTGCATACCTGGTTAGATTTTGATAAACCCAATTGTACAAATGAGTCACCACCTGCATGTCCTAACCTTCTATGCCATAGGTCCTCCACTGAAATGTGACTCTAGTGAGGCAATGGTTCTATTATCTTGTTCATTGGTAACACATATAGTCCTTTTTTGTTTTCACACTTCAACACAAAATTTCTACCATTTATGGTTGAGCCTTCTCTTTGGACTACAATCTTGTGCCCCCTTGTGGTTAGCTTTGAGGCTGATAACAAATTGTGCTTCATACCTGGAACAATGAGTGCTTCAACTGATAATTTGACCCCTTGACACTCTGCTTTTAACACTCCCGTCTTGTTGGACCTTAAAATTTCTCCATTGGCTATATGTATTGACACATAATTTGGTAGCTCCTGCACAATATGCATTTTTCCTTCCAATTCCTTTTGTACAAAATCATTGCTTGCTCCTGAGTCCAATACGATATTCATACCTTCGATGTGATTTCCGTAGTTTGCTGCATACAGAATTACGTCTTCTTCGGCTGTGTTAGCTTTGTGATTTCTTTGTGATTTCTATCTCCCAACGTTTGTACACTTCCTTTTCCTCTATCAACACGTGGGTTACCTCTGAATCCTCTATGTTGCGTGCCTCTAAAGTTCCCTTTTTTTCGTGGACACTGCGCTTGAAAATGTTGGGGACTACCGCATGCAAAACATTTCTTGCCACTTACATTCAAGCCTGTTTCGCTGTCTTCATTGCTACAATTAGCTTTTGATTTCATTATTTCCTCGTCCCATAACCTCGCTTTAACAAAATCAAATTTTACATCTGAAATATTCTCCAAAGCTGTTACAACTGTATCATATTGTACTGGCAGTGACAATAGTAAATGGCAAACTTTATCACTCTCATTTAGGTCTGATCCATGCTCTTTAAGCTCCCTGATAATTGTATCAAATTTTAGGAAATGGTCTTCAAGCCTTTCATTCGCGGTAGTTTTTAGATTTAACAGTTTTCTCCAACAGGACAATGCCTCAATTTGCGCCTTTGCACTTTTGCAATCTTTAATAATATCCAAGTGTTTGTCCGACACACCTTGAACTATTATTGACTGTGCTTTATAATCCTTTTCTCCCATTCCTTCTTTTCATTCGAAGTAGCACTTTCTCCTGGTTTATTACCTTGGATGGCCTCCTGGCATTTCTCCCTTCAAAGCAAAGTTACCATTCTGAATTGCCAATTATTAAAATTGTTTGCTTCTAAAATTGGCACTGTATTGCTGTGTATTCCAACCATAGCTAAAAGTGCGAAATTCCACACTGTTTACAGCTCTTATTTTACAATCCTTCGCTTCTGCAATCTGGGCCCATAACCTCTTGAATTAGGTGGGTTTAATAACACACACTGAAGCGTTTTATTTTAAGAAGGATGTATTAAATATTGGAATTTATAAGAAAACTAACAAAATGCATTCTACACTTGATCCGCCATTCCACCGCATTCTTCCTTCTAGTCACGTAGGCCAAAAAAGGTTACTTCAAAAACAATACATGTAATGCCATCTATGTGACAATAACTGCGTTCTGCACTAATACATTCAACACACACGGCTTAAAAATTCCACTTCATATTTTGTAAATAAGCCTGTCATATCACATTTTGACAATATAAAGTTCGTTTGGACGTCCAATATGGGATCTAAACGCAGGTTTAAGCAAACACTTTTTGGGTAATAAAAATTAATACGCATATTCTTAAGAGTTGAGTGTTTTTTCGTTGTGACTATCGAATGAAAATAAACGACTTCTCCTACGAATTTTATTTTCACTTATTAACTTATGCATATGCATTACGGTTAACAATGGTGATTTAAGACCCAGGGTACAATTCCGAATGTTCCCTAATTATTACGCAATAGTGAGGTTTTTTGCGTAACGCACCTGTGATGGTCGTTCCTTCCAATATTCTTGGAAGAAATTTAATATTTTGGGCAATCTCCACCTGCATCAATCTCAGCTTTAAGTCGTCAGCTCATGCTAATACGTTGGCATACATAGCTCCCTGCTGTTTTGAGGCATAAAATTTCTTCGATATATCTGTTTCACCATTATCCCCCAATATGTTTTCGAGTGGGTTGATGTCAGTGCTGTTACTTGACCACGGCAAGGTTTCAATGTTGACATTTTGGAGCCATTGTGTAACGATGTTTGCAGTGTGAACATGACAGTTTTCTTATTGAAAAATATAATTATTTTCTCGGTAAGGCTGTTCCAGACTGGCACCATAACATTCTAAAATATTTCGGCATGAGTTTGACTAACAAATCTTCCTTCAATCCGCCATACCACTCGCATGCCTCTGGATGTATTCCATCCCCATAAATTTACAGCGAAACTGCCTACAGCTCTGTACTTGTCGACAAATTGAAGGTTGAAACGTTGGTTGTCTAGTCTGTACACTTTGAGATTACGCTTTTAGGAAGACTGGAAGCTCTTCCATCTGAAAATATGACGCTATCCCAAAACTGCTGTCTTGCGCTTGATAGTTAATAGCAATAAGCCATGCTTGCTTCTGTTCGGAATGAGTCATCCTCGGCTATCCGAAGGGGCGCCTGATCTTCTTGAACTAATCTAACAGTTTGTTTATCAGATCCCCCTTTCCTTTCAAAAGTTTCTTCTTGTTTCCACCTTGGGAACAACTGTGCAAACGCTGACAAGTTTTTATTTGACAGTGAACCAGTCGTCCATAAACTGGTATCAATACCATCAGAAAATTTGTTAGAAAGGTTCATCAAAATTTAAAAAAAAGAACTAAATTTAAAGATAAATTTTAGGTGATGTACCCGACAACTTTCTAATTTGAAAATATTCTCTATCGCCGACATTCCAAGATATCAACCGGCGACGCACTATTGGGATACTCTTTGCGCATTTTTCCTTTCGGCTTGATGAACAAAAGAAACACGCGCGTCTAATGCCAAGTGTTTACTCAATAATAAAGTTGGTTAATACAAATTCTGCTAAAAATTAAAATCCTACTAACGTGACATTCCCACAGAATATTCGCTACTAAACGAAGCTTCCCGTGTCAATCCCGATATTTCCCTACCGTAAACACACACATCCCTCGTCGGAAAGAAATTTTTGGTGATAAGTAGTTTCTTATGCTGGAAATCCTATAAAAATTCGAATTTACTAAGCGCAACCTATTTGAAAAAAAAAATGCGAAAGGTATCGGACATTTTCTCTCATTCACACGTTTATTAACCCCGCCACGCTACAGTTAACACTAAATTTTGTGTATTTTTCTTCGATTCCGGCGGCCGGGTCGAACTACCACTCATGTGTTTACCGGCGGCTACAGAATTTAAAAACGACCTGAAACTTGAAAAAAAAAACAAACCTAACCTCACTTCCACACGCTTCGTTCGTCACTTCGCATACTCGGTACTCGCCCACTCGGAATTTTATGCATTAGAATAAAAAAAAAACAATATAAACTAGTCCTGATCACGAAAAATTTTCAACGTCTCCTGAAATTCCTTTCCCTTTCTCGAGGAAGATCCCTCGCGCCTCCGCGCCCGCGACCGGATTCTTCCAGGCGACGTTTGTGTTCTTCCATTCGCATTTGTCGCTGTTGCTGCTTTAACACTATCTACGACAAAATAAAAAAAACAGTTAAAAATAACTTCCGAATGGTTCAAGCTAGGGTACTGAAATTTGGCTCCTTTTAAAAATTGCTTCGATCGGACAGTGGCGTCCATCTTTTCGATCTTCGTCCTGTTCTGTGCAAATCGCTATGAAACACCATGTGCTCGAAATTTAAATCTATCGACTTCAAATTTGCCGCGCGTATAGATTTTATTTCGCTAACTGAACCTATTGGAACTGGGGGGGCTGAAGAGTCGGGAACTATTTTTAAAAATTTAAAACCCATCTTTACAAGTGCGCGATATCCGGATCTAAAAATTATTGAGAATATTTTTTGAAACTGTATAGAGTACGTCGGCAATTTGCAAAACAGTAAATAACTAGAAGATGAATAATCAGTTGTCAGTTTCTTTTACATGGTTATATAGTTTACTTATACTTCTCTATTTAACGTTATCACATATTGTACTGGGTGTTCCGGATATCTCGTGTATAAGGTATAGTAGGTGACCTAAATGTGCAGCTATCAACTTCAGATTTGGCAGGGATGTAGAAGTCCATACCGACACCTAAACTTCAGAAGTTGGGCGAAATTAAACGTCGGAAAGTTTGTTTGTTTCTTGAAAAAAATTTTTGGTCTTGTGACTCATAAAAAAAAATATTTTTTTCAAAACCACTAACTCAATTAGCAAAATTCTTGAATAAGAAACCGCGGGAGATCTGTTTATAGATAAAAAATCCAAAAGACCCTGACAATTATTCTTTTCGGGATTAAATTATTAGCAGTACATGAAAATTCGTGAACAATATGGCTATTTGGTTTGCACAGTAATGTGTTCCTCTAGGACCAAAGGCTTTTAAAATGCAATGATATTGTAGTATATTTTTAAAGAAATTGAAAATTTTTGTTGGGTTATTTTGGCTGCTAGAATAAAAATTATTTTCTCGAAAATTATGAACCCGATTGGCAAAATTCTGCAACCAAGGGACGCGGAAGATCCGGGACTATAACTTCTATTTTGAGCATTTTTGCGATTATATACACGGTTTTTCAATAACAGACCGAAATCGAAAAGAGCCTGAAAATTATTCCTTTTGAAAATAAATTATTGGCCGTAAATCAAAAATCGTAATATGCTATTTGATTTAAACAGTACTACCATCAAGAGCTACGATTTCTGTATTTACGTTTTGGGTCTATTTGCTAGATATTTGAAAAAATCCTTATGGAAGTCGTTATTTCTTAAGTTCAATCTAGACGCGATGACGTCACTTACTATTATGTACCGCATGGTTTCAGAAGACATATTTTACATTTATTCAGTTGGCTTTTTTATTACTTTTATTACTGTATGAAATATCTACTAGCTGTAACACTAAAGAATAAAATGGCCAAATTTCCGTTGTGTGTGTTGGAAGTTCGTTAACAGTAAACAGGAACGAAACTTTATTCCATCGGTTGTGCACTTTGGCAACGTGACTTGTTCTGTGGGTGAAGATATTGTCAATTTATTTGCAGACTATTTTTCGAATATGTATAGTGACGGGGACTGTGTCTCTGAAGGTGTCAACCTCTCACATTTGAACATTTCGATTTCATCTATTTACGAAAAACTGTCGACTCTAGACAAAAACAAAGGATCCGGTCCAGATGGCCTCCCACCATATCTTATTAAGCATTGCAGCTTCATACTTTCCAGACCACTTTATATTATCTTTAACCACTCTTTAAAAACGGGAACTTTTCCCAATTACTGGAAATCAAGATTCATTACCCCTATCCTAAAATCCGGCGATAACTCACAAGTCAATAATTGATAGGCCCAACAGTATCGTGAGTTGTATTCCTAAAGTGTTCCAAAGTTTAGTCTGCGACTATTTATCTGCTGGCCTGAAAGGTTGCTTCATCAACCAACAATTTGGATTTCTCCCTCATTGCTCCACTGAGATAAACTTGCTTACATTCACAGATTTTCTGCTGGAAACATTGGAGGAGGGGTCTCACGTTCATGCCATTTACGCAGGCTTTTGATTAAGTAAATCATCAAATCCTAATCAAGAAAATTGCAAAACATTGGTATCCAGGGAAAACTTTTGGAATGGTTAACATCATACTTTGTGATGACACAGGGGACGGATGTGAGTAGATGCAGGGGCTCCTGAACAGGACATTGGTAAGATTCTCACAATGGTGCCGGGACAGCAAGTTGGCTGTCAATCCTGGCAAGGTGGAGATGGTCATCTTCACCAGAAAAAGGAAGATGGAGTACAACCTCAACATTTCGATGGATGGGGTGCCTCTTTCTGCAAACGGAAGTGTCAAGTACTTGGGGGTGTGGTTGGACTCCAAGTTGACCTTCCAGGAAAATATAAGATCAAGGACCAGGTCGGCTTTTGGAGCTCTGTGGGCGTGCCGGAGAGCGGTAGGGGCCGAAGATCATGCAGTGCCTATGCTCACGCATGGGGCAGTGGCATGGTGGCCGGGGACCAAAAGAGCAGGAGCAAGGCTAGTTCTTGACAAACTGCAGAGATTGGCTTGCCTCTGCATAATACGGACGCCATGAAAACGGCGCCCACGAGAGCCCTAGAGGCTCTGGTGGGGTTGCCCTCTCTGGCGGATCAGGTGCAGATGGAGGCGGCCAGGACGGCTGTGAGGCTGGCGAGCTGCGGGCTCTGGAGGAAGGGAACCTTCAATTGGGGTCCGTACGACATTTTAGGGGACTGGCGCGGGGATCGCGGGGTCATGGGCATGCCGAGTGACGTCATGATCCCCGAGATGACCTTCTTTGACAAATGGACCTTTCTCTTCCTATTAAGGGAAGAGTGGAGAGAGGGCAGAGTCAGCTCCTGTGATGGACTTGTCTGGTACACAGACGGGTCCAGAATAGGAGATCGGGATCGACCTTGTCGGTCCCTCTGGGTCAGTACTGCACTGTGTTTCAGGCGGAAATTTTCGCCTTATTGATGGCGGCCAGAGAGGTGCTTCGGCTCAACCACGGATGCAGGAGGGTCTTCTTCTGCTTGGATAGTAGAGCTGCACTTATGGCGCTGAAGTCAGTGCGTACGCGCGTACGTTGGTCTGGGTCCCGGGTCACACCGGTATCTGGGGCCATGAGGCAGCGGACGCCTTAGCCAGGGAGAGCTCCTCGCATAGGCATATAGGACCAGAGCCCCGCTTGGGGATCGCCCCGTGTGTAAGTCGGGGAGCTCTCGAAGCCTGGGCGAGAGACCGGGCCGCGGTGGGCTGGAGAGTTGCTCCGGGAATGAGGCAGGCGAGACTTATGGACCAGGGAGCTGCTTAGACTGACCAAAAGGGAGTGTAGAGCACTAACAGGAGCCTACACAGGACATTGCAGACTTAGGAGGCATCTTTGCTTGCTAGGCATTGGAGACGACCCGGAGTGTAGGTGGTGCATGGAGGGGGAGGAGACCCCGTATCATCTGCTCACCGAATGCCCTGCCTTGACATGGGCAAGATTGGGAGTCTTCGGAAAGGCCCTGATGGATCCGGACTCAGTGCACGGTATTGAGCTAAAAGAGTTGCTGACCTTCTATAGGAGGGGCGGCATTCTGGACGACCTATAGATCGGCCTGGGGGCACAACGGGCCCATCTGATGGCCTAAGTGCTTAATACCAATACCAACATTGTGCTTTAATGAAAGAGTGCAAATGGTGCGCGTCCAGAGCTTCCAATCCACCAAAAGTAAAGTGCTTCCTAGTGTTCCACAAGGATCGCACCTGGGACCCCTACTCTTCAATATCTATGTGAATGATGTTGCATTCATCAAGCATATTTTCTATTATTTGCTGACGACTTAAAATTCTATATGAGAGTCCATAATGCTGATGACTGTACAAAACTCCAGTCCGATTTAGATCACCTATTGCTATGGAACGATTTGAATGGAATGGAACTAAATATTAATAAATGTCAACTATAATGAGCTTCTACCGGAGCAGAAACCCCATACATTTTACTTATAACATAAAAGGGTCACAGTTATTGCAGGCCTCCTTAATAAGGGATCTTGGATTGTTACTCAATATTAAGTTGACTTACACACACCACGATTCCTTTATTGTGTCCAATTCACTTCAGATTTTGGGCTTTATTAAGCATTGTACAGTGGATTTCCAGAGTGTTCTGTCTCTCATATTACTGTTCTGCTCCGTCATGCGTTCACACCTCCTTAGTATAACGTCCACAGAACGAGCAGGCCATAGAAAGAGTGCAGCATAGGTTCCTGCGGTTATAACATTTAAGGAGCACCAAGGACGTTGATTACTCGGAATTGGAAAACTCTCTCCAACTTACAACTCTTCAGATTCGTCGCATGCAGAGGGATCTCACCATTTTTTATAATCTACTGCATACAAATTCCCATGGACCTGAGCTGGTACGTAACATTGGGCTTCGCATTCCCCCCGCCAGACCAGAATAAACCACTCTCTCCAGGTGGAGTTCCATTGTACTAACTATTGGCAGAGTTCTTTTCTTACTAGGTCAGCTGCACCAGCGAATCCCTTTTCGGACCAACTTGACTGCTTCCAGAGTGCAAGAATATTTAAGAAAGAACTTAAAGACTGTCAGTAAAACTATTCCGCTTTTCTTTGCAATAGTATTGTATGACGTTGTGTTGGTGCCTCGCTACTCTTATAAGTGTCCGTACTGTTGTGTCGACTAACTATACTAATACATATCAATACTTTGGAAACCCAATTTTGTCATATTAGGGTAAGGTCTTCATCTATCTATTTCATTCTGTTTTAATTTATTTTATTTTGTTGTTTACTATTTTGTTTATGTGAATCCTATTTTATATGGGGTGGCTGGCCCATTGATAAATAAATAAATAAAAAACTTTGGATGGGTTAGATTACAGTCGTTTTTTGTGAGGCTTATTAGTTTCCATTTTTTTTAATAAAAAATCATTTGACTTTGACTTTGATGTGGGATTAAAATATTAATTGGAACAATTTTTCAAATAAAAAATGTGAACCATAAACCTGTATAACCTTCATCTTAAATGTGACACACTGTACAAACAAATAAACAAATAATTAATTTAGTCAAATAATGCACCTACCTCTTCAGGTGAAAGTGGTTGCCAGTAGATGCTGGGTGTGACTTTGGTTTTCAAAAATAAATCGTCCATCGCTTTTGGGGCCACCACTTCCTCATATTTGGTCCTTTTCTGATAAAAATCTAGATACAAAAGGGGCTTGAAATTGGGGAAAAGTTCTAAGATAAAATCAAAACCTTCAGGCATATATGGCAGCTGACTAAGCCTTCCAACTTTTTCCTTGCTCCTGGATCTCATCCTCGGACGTTTCTGGTGATTGTCCTCTTTCCCCATGTCCCACGTCAAAACAGGTGCGATCACCGCAGCGTTTTCTTCCATCCGCTCCCTCACCACAAGCGTTCCGGGCAACTGAAATAAATAATTCATGTCATTAATATGAGATCAAATAAGAGAAACCATCAAACACACTTGATTTTCTTTTTCCGGAGTTTTTTCCCGCCTAACGAAGGGCTGAGGAGGGTTCTTTACTTTTTCCAGTTCTTCCTCTGTCGAATATTCAATTATGAGTTTCTTCCCATTACCAATGGGCCAATTAACACCGTGCAAGGCATTCCTTGTAGCTTCGGCTTCTCTAAATCAAAAGAGCAAAATTTGAAAACGAAAAATACACTATAGAAAATCAACATACTCTGGAGTGTCATATTTTACATAACATTTCGATTTGATCTTGTCGGTCCAAAATCCATCTTCTGTTATCCTACCAGTCCTCTCCAATAATTCCTTAAGCTGTTTTACTGTAAATGGCCTCACCAAATTAGTAACAAATATAACATTCGATATTGGGTTTTTCGGAGGAGTTGGTGGAGGTTTCATTTTGCTTGCTGTATCATCAACTATGCTTATTTTTCTGTTTAAAGTTATAACATTTTCTTTCACCTCCACTTCGCTGATCTCCTTTTCTATATGTTCCATTAGCATTTTTTCTTTTTCTTCTCGTTTGGCTTCCACCATTTCCTTACGTTTTTCTATTTCCAATTGTTGCTTCTCTTTGAATGTCAAGTCTAAATTTACTTCGTCCTCCTTTGCAAAGCCTAATTTGGGGCACATTCTTCTTAAATCCTTCAAGTTTAAACAAATTATTTTTGTGGATGTTATGTTGGTTGAATTCCACTTCGGTTTCTTTAAAATAATTTGGGTTTCTGGATTTTCTTTACCCTCAAAAGAATGACCCTGCTGTGTCAATAAATTGCGCACAATTTTAATTACTTTGGGTAGTTTACCAGGTTTTTTGTCTGCTTCTAAAACATAAATACCACTATGGCCACAACAATTATTGTAAATGAGTTTCAATCTTACCTTGGTGTTCACATAACCCCATTTCAAAGGCATTACTATATTTCCTCTTTCTATCTTCATTAGTAGCATCATCACCTGAAGAAGATTGCTCTTTCTCACTTGACTCTTGAAAAGATGTTTGCTCTAATTTCATTTTATCTTCTTTCTTCTTATTGTCAACAATCAAAGATGGTTTTTCAGCTTCAACAGTACTTCTCCTCTTTAACAAAATTTTTCTGTTTTGATTTTTGTTGGTCATGTCTTTGTGTTTTTCACTTGTATCTGCTTTTTCTTTCTTCTGCAAGTCACTCTTTTTAGTTTGCTCAGAATCTTCATCAATGGATTGCTCCTCATGTTTTGAGTCACTAACATCCTGCAATAAGTTTCCTAAAGTTTTTGTGTCTGGTAATCTTTTCAGGGTGATTTTTTTTTTCAAAGACTCCTCACTTGATAAAATGTCTGCATTTTCTGAATTTTGACTGTCTACGGATTTGCAGCTTTCTAAACATTTCTTTGTGAGATGCTGAGATTGCTCTTCAATATGCGTATCTGAATTTACTTCCACACAGGAGCTCTTGACTTCTTCTTTGTTGAATATTTCAGATGCTTTTCCATCTATTGCCCTTTTTAAAAGAATCTTCTTTGTCTCGATGGGCTCGGTACTTTTTTTTGTACTTTCTTGGTTAGCTTCCAATTGATCACTACTTGTAGTAAGCAATTTCTGTTTATCAAATGTTTCAACTTTCGGGCATTCTAAGGAATGTGTGACAACTTTTAACAATAGGTTTTCCTTAGAATCACTGAAACTAGAGACAATTTTATCACTCGATTGGTTATGCTTTGCGGAATTAGTTTCAATTAAATTGCTCGTGCCAGAATTGCTTATCAAATTATTTGAAGAAGGTTGTAAAGGCCCCAATTGGATGTTATCTTCAGTCTGCTGACTATGTAACATATCTTCCTTTAGAACAGTGTATTCCTCCAATTTTGAAGTTTCTGGATTATTTTCATTTGACAGAACAGTTACAGCAATGCTAGCTTTCAATTCTTGGTTTTCACTGACTTTGTTGAAACATTTATTTTCAGATGAGTCACTGGCACTTTTTGTGCATTCCTCTTCGCACTTCGCTTTGTCAGATATACTTTTAAAAACAGTCTGTGTGTTACTTGGTGACTGACTGGTCACCTGCACATTTTTATTTTCAATTTCTTCATCAACATTTGACTCATTTCTGTCATTATTTGATCCCTTTTTATCATTAGACTTACCTTTAAAATTTTCCCCCTCACCGGTTTCTTGATGTTCCTCTGGTACCAAAGATCCACTGTATACACATTTTTCAAGCGCGTCATTGTCTTTTCCTGATGTAATTCTTCTAGACCTTCGCAATGAATCTCTATTAATGGAACTAGGTGATTCATTGTCTTTTGTAGAACTTCCATGATCAGAATCATCACTTGATGTAGACTTTCTTCTACGTCTCGATCTTCTTAATGCTGGAGATTCGATTTTAGATTTTTCTAAAGATTTTGCTGTTGCCTTTGAAGTTCGACGTACCATTTCTAAACAGAAATATGTATAGAAACTACAAATAATATAGATGTACTTTCTTCATTGCGTAAAGCATTGCTTTCAAAATTGTCTTACCTATGATAAAATTAGTAGTTTACAGCTTATTACAAAATGGCAAAATTTCCTCAAATACACAAATACTTGGTAATCACCTCACAAAACGGGCACAGTTTACAAACATGCATTTCCTTAAACTTGATCACAGAATACCAATGGCTTGATAATATTGAAATTACTCGAATCACTGATTTTCAAGTAAATGTATGCTGTCAGTTTGATTGGTCATGTTCATTTATTCAAAACAACCTTACAAAGGTCACATTACAAAGGTAATATTGCTATTGTAGAATTTAAGAGTTAACTTTCCGTCACTAAAAACATTTATTTTATGAAACCATTAGCCATGGAAAAATTTTGTAAATTATAAACGAATAATATTTTAAAATTTCTAATGCATGTAGTGCCTAAAATTAAAGAATAAAACGGCAGTATGTTATATTCTGTAGCAACAAACTTTTAATCGGATCGGAATGATTGGATAACTACTGTCAGCAGAAAATTTTATGTAAAAGAAAACGAAAAGAAGACGTTTGATATCATGCCCGACCAGGATTCTGTGGTACTGTGGTCAAAAAGTAAAATTGACTACTCTAAAATGACTAATGCAACATAGTTTTCGAAGATGGTGGACGTGTTGGAGGATGTAATTATGGATGCCGAAGACAGCGGAGATATTATCCCCAAAACTACCGAAGAGTAAGTAGATTTTATGTAGATAAGCTGATGTTAAGCAATAGACTTTGAGGGCTTTTTGAACAGGTTTTAACGAAACTTATGTTGATTTTCAGAAATCCGTCATCTTCAGTAATCTATGCCAAGATTGCAAGGCAGGCCTCATTTATTTTCTTGGTATTTGTTTGAGTTAATCTGCCAGTCATATGAAATGAATGAAATGGAAAATTAAGGGAATTTTGTTGTTTTCCTTCTTTCTCCTGTGTTGTTTCTCGTTGTTTGTTTGTTGTTACAATTTTCAAAATAACTATATTTGTATTGGTTTATGTAGGTAGCATATAGGTAAAAGTCGCTGATGGGTGGGAAGTACCAGTCTATGTTTAAGTTAAATAACTGCGAAGCCATAGTGTGAGATGGTTCACAGGAATGTCTTGATTGATCCTTTTTACAAATTAATTGATTAATTGGCAACTGTTGTCATAACCACAAAATAAAAATTGTTATTATTATACTTTTTAAATTTTATACATATATAGGAGTGGTTTTCAATTATTACTATTGTCATCTCCCGTTTCTCAATCTCCACATTTTCCTGTATGTCAAATCTCCTTCTTGAAGGCCTTTTGGCGTTTGCTTTCATCACATGTTGCTGCCATCTTCTAGTCGCCGTTCATCTTTTCCTCCGCTCAGTTGGTGTCCATTTTGTTGGTCCATCAATAGCGCCAAAAATAGTCTCTTTTTCTCCAATGATTTCTTGAATTTCTTCATTTTGGATATGTTCCAATCTTGAGATTCTGCAACTCCTACGCCGCCATTTCATGGGATCATCATTTTTTTTTTGTTTAGCCCTCACTTTTCAACGCCATAAGTGATGACGTTCTCAACAATAGTTTTATATAGCATGATTTTTGTTTTCATTAAAATGTTATAACTCACCAATAACTTTCTGATGTAAATTTTCTATTTCCTGGCATACATTTAATAATTATATTTGCCAGAACTTCCAATACTCTTGATGGGACGGCCTTTAGAAGTTCTACTAATATATTTACGATACCTGGTACTCTTTTTTATTATCCATATCCTGTGTGGAATTTATTTTGCGCCTTTCAAAATAATTCAAAAATTCTGTCATATTTTCCACTAGAAGGTAATAGGATTTACATTCTCCATAGAGATAAAATTTATTCCTGCATAACCTTTATGTTGTGCTTTGTGTTGGTCTTTATTTATTTTTGTGTTTTCAATATCTGAATTGATTTTTTGGTATCTCTCCAATACTTAATTCTTGCCCTTTTTGCGTTGACTGTGAGCTTACTCATTTTCCATGAGCATATATCTTTTCGTCTACCACTTCGTGAGTCGTCACTCCACCATCGTATATCATTTGATGGTATTTATATTTCATAGAAACGAGAGAGAGGCAACTTTTTTTTTATAAAACTATTTTTTGAAATTCTCGGAATCTTATCTATCTTATTTTATCGTAATAGTCAGGGAATGAAGTTCTTCTACATCCAGGGCCTGATCTGCCCTCTATTTATTAGAAGACTTATTAGAAATTAGTTGGAGGAGATAGTATTTTCCATTTCTCATCACATGCCCAATTTCTTAGTTTTAACTTTTTTCAAATCATCCCATTTCATTCTTTTTGCCAACACCGTATCGTTTGCAGCTGCTAAACGTTTGCATGTAGAGTCCATATAAAAATACCACAGACATGTAACACCAGAGAACTTGAATTCGAGTTTGAATCTTTCACTTTATTTCTTGCGAGTAATCCAAGTTTTGATTGAAATTATGGCCAAGGTATGAGACTTGTTCTGTTTGCTCTAAAGGGGTATTAATATAAAACTGAGTGTATATATTGTTCTTGCTTACAATAAGAACCTGTGTCTTTTTGCAATTTATTCTCATTTGTTTATTACCAACTTGGTTGAGAATTCCAGTTTGTCGTCCTCAAAGATCTTCAGGATTTCTAAGTTAATATTATTCGGTACTACTTCCATTTCCATTTCTTTGTGCAGGTTAAAAATGTTGTGTTTCTGATATACATTTTTTGTTTCCTGGCTTTAATCCACCTCACTATTCTTTTATAAATTTCTTTATATTTTGTTATGTCTCTATTTTTATATATTTTTTGCATAGAATTGCAGAATTAAAGAAAGAGAATGGCAACCAACTCTTCAAAATCAAACAGTATAGGTCTGCTTTACCACTATATACGGAAGCCATCAAGTTGTGTCCCCACATTTCTGCCTACTATGGAAACCGGGCTGCCTGTTATATTATGCTTAATCGCTACAATGAAGCTTTAGATGATTCAAGAAGAAGTATACAGTTGGATCCTAATTTTGTGAAGGGGTAAGTGCAGTGCATGCAGATTTTTAATAAAGATATCATTTCTTACACCTTTTTTACTCAACACACCACAACACTTAGGTACAGGTTCAGTCTTTCAATAAACGTGTCTCTAAATGCATCAAATAATTTTGAACATTTATTGCCTAATAGAAATCTTTTTTTATGAATTGTTTTTATAATCTATTTTAGTTTAAAATTAAATTTGTATTTCCATAAAATTGTTTTCATCGACGTCGAAGTTTTTTTGAATCTTTTGTAAAAATCTCAAAATAAATAAAATCAAAAACACTGTTAAGGTCTGTACTACCCTATTAGCTCATCAGAGTTATTTTTTAATTGATGGCATAAAAAAAAAGAAACATTTCATAAGGATGTTCTGAAAATTTCAAAACATTTTCGAGAAATTTGAAAACGCCTACTCGGAGCGAAATGTGTTATGTAAAAAAGTGCACAAAAAGTACGATACGTAGCGCCCTTTACAATTTGCCCCAAAATTATTCACGAAAAATAATTTTTCATATCAAAAAACCCTGATTTGCGAAATTTTGAGCAAAAATCTCTATTATTTCAAGAATTGCAACTTTGACATCCTGTATCTCGGTAAGTTTCGTTAAATCGTAATATTTTTACCTAAGGAATCTCCTACTTTCCCATGTACCATTACTTATGGGACACCCTGTATATGGAATAGATCTAGAATTTTTCGGAAAATTCAAAAAATGTGTTTTATTCCTTGAGGACATTGAACTTAAACTTTTTCAAAACGTTGCAACATAAAGCAGCCGTTTTAACATGTGCAAATAAAAAAACTGTAAATCGTGTGGGCAGTTAACACCATCATATGTTAAGGTATTCCCGTCTAATGAAATTCTACTGTGCTACGTGCAGGAAATATGAGCCTGCATCGATGTTTCAACTTTTAGTGCAGTGTAAAGACAAGTTAATTGGCACCAAAGAAGTAATTTTATCAAAAGATCACTTAATTAAGAGTCTAGAAAAACAAATTGTCATTATCAATCATCCTCCCGAAAGCCATTACCACACCAGACTCTGAGAGAAATATATCTGTGATAACACATTTCAAAGGAAAAAAAAAGGAAAACAGAGTGTAGTGTTGGAAATGGACTAATATATATATAGCTTAATACAAAAGAAAGAAAAACTGTCCTAAATATATAAAGCCTACTTGCACATAAGACTGAAATGAGTTTAATTGTTAATAATTGGAAACCTTTAGTGGTTTGTTTATCCGAGACACATGTAACGGGTAAAATATTAGTACAGTATTAAAAATTATATAGTTACATACATAATACAAAATTACATAATGAACTGCATTTTCAAATGGATCTGGTAGATAGAACGGGACCCCAACTGCACAAAGCTAGACATACTAGCAGATAACTTGATGGAATCCATCTCTACAGTGCTAAACAGTATGCAGCTCTACAAGAAAAGGTTGTGAAAAAATAATGGGCGGATAAGAAATGGCGGACACCAGAAATTGATTTAAATATTCATAAAAGGGATCAGCTCTACAATAAAGCCATAATAACCAAAAGTAATGACGTCTTTAATGAATATAAAGCTCAAAGAAGCAAAGAAGCCAGAGAAGACTTATGTTCCTACAGTTACCAATATCTATGGCCAGAATGATGTTATTCCCAGTGGACTTATTTGATACAACCAAGTGTCTACAGTGAAGAATTCGAACTCAGCCAAGAATAAAACGTGCTTTATACTGTAAAGAAAATATTAATTTATAGCCACATTTGTTTTGTATTGTTAGATTAAATTATTATTATTTGTTGAACAATACTAACATACTTCTTTCTTGTTAGCATATAATATTTTAAAATTACAACAAAATCCAAACAACATTCGTCTCTTTTAAGTTTTTTTGATATTTTAAACATTATGAGAAAAGGTATCATTTCGTAATAAACGGACCACCCTGTACATTGTGACCGCTACCGTTTCAACTGAAGTTAATTTCATTGGCAGCAAATAGCTACCAGTGTATGTGCATCACTGCTAAAACATCTATCTATTTAAAAGGTATATCCGTATTCTGAAATGCGGCATAGCTCTGGGAGACTTGGTAACCGCCGAGGGTGCGGCAAAAAATGCGGAACGTTTGCAACCCGGATCGGTGATCAACGAGATCAGATCTCTGGAGAAACTCAAACAATACGAAGCAGACGCGAGAAAGGCGGAGGAGGCTAAAGATTATCGCAAAGTGGTTTTTTGTATGGACAGGTGTCTGGACGAAGCTCCGGTTTGCGAAAAATACAAATTAAAAAAGGCCGAATGTTTGGCATATCTGGGAAGGTACGTTCTTTGCATTAATTTCTTCCCGTATACGTCCACCACGTACATTTTGCAGATGCCAAGAAGCCCAAGAAATCGCGAATGACATCTTGCGTTCAAGCAAAGGGAGCGCGGATGCCATATTCGTCAGGGGTCTGTGTTTATATTACGACGATAACATAGACAAGGCGTTTACGCACTTTCAGCAAGTTCGTATTGTAAATGATTTTCTTCGCTCGCAACCAACTTTTGCCTGTCTTTTAGGTCCTCCGTTTCGCTCCGGATCATTCCAAGGCAATGGATCAATACAAGCGTGCTAAGCAGTTGAAAAAAAAGAAGGAGGACGGCAATGAAGCTTTCAAACTCTGCAGGTTTTCCGAGGCAATTAACTTGTATACGGAGGCTCTTGCCATCGATCCCCTAAACAAAAAGACAAATGCAAAATTGTATTTCAATAGGTAAAAATCGTACCCTGGTTGAGAATAGATTTAAAGTAGTCTACAAATAATATATGTATATATACGACCGCAATGAAGCTTTCAAACTCTGCAGGTTTTCCGAGGCAATTAACTTGAATACGGAGGCTCTTGCCATCGATCCACTAAAAAAATGTATATATATATATATATATATATATATATATATATATATATATATATATATATATATATATATATATATATGATGACACTATATTCCGGGATATCATCCGTTCGCTCGTTGAACTCCGACTGGAATCCTGCAAATCTTGCATCCGACTGGAATCCTGCAGACGTTTCGCCAAAATCTCACTTGGCATCTTCAATGCTCGCGCTCCGAAAACACTTCGAACACTGTTTTCGGAGCGCGAGCATTGAAGATGCCAAGTGAGATTTTGGCGAAACGTCTGCAGGATTCCAGTCGGATGCAAGATTTGCAGGATTCCAGTCGGAGTTCAACGAGCGAACGGATGATATCCCGGAATATAGTGTCATCACATTTTTCCATCCGTGAATCAATACGTGAGAATATATATATATATATATATATATATATATATATATATATATATATATATATATATATATATATATATATATATATATATATATATATATATATTTATATATATACAGGGTTTTTCACATAAAACTCCGCAAGCCAATAACTCCAAAACGAAAAGAAATATTTAATTTATGTAAAAAGTAGTCAAAGTGTGGGGTCAAGTAGATATTTCCTAAATTTTAAAAAATTCGACGCCTGCAAAAAGCTGGGCGTCGCGACGCGTCGAAAAATTATTCGATTGCAGAGACTTTGGAAATACGCGCATACAAAAGTACATATTATTTAAAAACTTTTTTGTTATTTACTCAAACTTATTTACTTTACCCGTTTCTAAGTTATACCGATTTAAAGTAAACATTTCTTGATTAATAAAAAATGTGATTAACGCTTATTTTTACAAGTATGCCATGAATGTTAGTTACTATGGCAACCATTGTTATCGCAGTTGTTTTAAGTGCAATTACAAACGTAAGTTGTTATTGCTGTATCAAAAAATTTTCACATTTTGTCACAAGAAATATCCAAATTTGTTCGGTTAAAAAAAAACTAAGAATTATTATGTGAAAATGGTGCAATTTAGCAATGAGGAAAAAGTAGACATGTTACTGGTGTTTGGAGAATGCAGGTGCAATTGTAGAGAAGCAAAAAGAGTTTACGCACGGCGTTATCCGCATAGAAGAGTCTCCGATGCAAAAACCTTTTCAAGTTTATGTAAAAACTTAAGAGAATATGGCAGCTTCATAAAACCTAAAAGAGATAGGAACAGGACGGCTACAAATGATGAAAATACTGCTGCTGTAATTCAGCAGGTTGATAATAACCCCAAGATATCCCTATCAGAGATAAAAGAAAATACCGGTGTTACCATAAGTTCTTCGTGGAGAATTCTACATAGAAACTCTTTTCACCCGTACAAAAGTAAACTAGTTCATAAACTAGAACCAGGCGATTATGCTAGAAGAATGTATTTCTTAGCGACATTGTCCGATTTGTATAGCCAAGATGCAAATTTTCTCTCGAAAATTTTATGGAGCGACGAAAGTCGATTTCAAAATAATGGAATCGTTAATAGACACAACTGTCGTTTTTGGTCCGAAAACCATCCTCGTTGGATTACAGAAAGAGGTAACCAACGAATTTTTAGTATCAATGTTTGGTGCGGCATATTAAATGGATTCCTTATTGGACCTTACTTTTACGAAGGCGAGGTCCCCGGACATTACACCACCAGATTATTTTGTTTGGGGCTACCTAAAAAACGTTATCTATGAAGAACCTATCGAAGATATGGCTGATCTCATTAACAAAATTAGTGCAGCGTGTGCCGCTATCACAAGAAGGACTCTCCTACAAGTGACCCAAGCTCATCTGTTAAAAGTTTTTGATAGTTGTGTTCGAGCAGATGGACATAATTTTGAACACAATTTTTGAAATGTCTTATTATGTGGTTAATTACAATAATAATTTTGGTTATTAACTTGTAGGTATTTTACTGTTTTTTCATTTATTTATCATGTTATCAGAACTAAATCGATAAAAAATAATAAATAAAATCATACTAAAATAGTTGAAATCTATTGTTTGTAATTGCACTTAAAACAACTGCCATAACAATGGTTGCCATAGTAACCAACATTCATGGCTTGTAAAAATAAGCGTTAATCACATTTTTTATTAATCAAGGAATGTTTATTTTAAATCGGTATAACTTAGAAACGGGTAAAGTAAATAAGTTTGAGTAAATAACAAAAAAGTTTTTAAATAATATGTACTTTTGTATGCGCGTATTTCCAGAGTTTCTGCAATCGAATAATTTTTCGACGCGTCGCGACGCCCAGCTCTTTGCAGGCGTCGAATTTTTTAAACTTTAGGAAATGTCTACTTGACCCCACACTTTGACTACTTTTTACATAAATTAAATATTTCTTTTCGTTTTGGACTTATTGGCGTGCGGAGTTTTAAGTGAAAAACCCTGTATATATATATATATATATATATATATATATATATATATATATATATATATATATATATATATATATATATATATATATATATATATATATATATATATATATATATATATATATATATATATATATATATATATATATATATATATATATATATATATATATATATATATATATATATATATATATATATATATATATATATATATATATATATATATATATATATATATATATATATATATATATATATATATATATATTTATATATATATATATATATATATATATATATATATATATATATATATATATATATATATATATATATATATATATATATATATATATATATATATATATATATATATATATATATATATATATATATATATATATATTTATATATATATATATATATATATATATTATATATATATATATATATATATATATATATATATATATATATATATATATGATCAACTTCCCACACACAGATAAACAGCAAAAGATAGTAAATATTTAAAACAGAATTTAATTACAGTAATGAGCCTAACCTAAAAGTATAAAAATATCGAGCGTGCAACCATTAATAAACATTTTTATGTGTTAATGGTTTTCAGTGCTCTAATGTGTCTAGCCAACATTCTATATGCCTTTTATACGTCTTTTGGATTCCTCTTGCGTCCAGTTATTGCTGAATCGAATTTGCTAACGTTTCGCCAATTGCATGCGCAAAAATTCTAGAATCCATTTATGGTGTATTTTAATAGCTTGGCGAACCGACTTCCATTTTGTTTAGTGTGTCAGTTTAAGACGACATATTTATTGTGTTTAGCATCTTCTGCTGGTGGCAAGGATCCATAAAAAACGGCTTTGATGATCTTTTCTAAAACTCGTTATAACACTAAGTTTTTTCTGGTTGCATGCATGGCATGCATTCTTTCAAGACTAAGCATACTTTTTGTACGACCGTTAGTTTTTGGATACATTTTTGCAAAATAACACGAATACATTCATTCACATGACCGTCAGAATTGACAAGCGTCAAAATACAAGCCGTGCGGTAAAATCTCCGAAAACATAGATATGTTGATATATATATATATATATATATATATATATATATATATATATATATATATATATATATATATATATATATATATATATATATATATATATATATATATATAACAAATTTTAGTTAATTGGGGTATCGGTCCTGATGAGGGCTCAAATAAAAGGCTTTTGTGCTACACCAAGCTTTCGAAAATGTTTATTTTCTTCTTCAGGGGCTACAATATGAAAGCGGCTCTTAGTTATTTAATACTAAAGTCTTCTAGTTAAAGTACTTACTGCTACAGTGCCATTATAGGCCAACACCAAACTCATCCGGATAACAGAAAGAATCAAATACGACCGTTAATTATTATAACCGAGGGCAGCCATCTAGACGAAATTGTTGTTACATTTTATTTAAACGAATTTTACTTCAAACGCAAAACGCAAATGATGGAAAGGTTTTATTAATATGACTACCGCCAGCCGTCCAGTTTTTTTCCCTTCTTTTTTTCCTTTTGTTACCTCCTTTTTGTTTACAAGGCACCTAATGTATAGAGGCTTGGGACTATTTTTCTAAATTATAATTACATTGTGACGACACTATTATCAGCAAACGCAATTCGATTGACGGTTGGTTGTAAAGTTAAGACATTAGAGTAGATCACACTGAGGCCATCAATGTCAGATCTTTTATTGACCGATTTCGGTTCCAAGAAGATCTCCACCATTTCCAAAATTGCTCTTTTGTTGTAGTTGCTTTCTTTATGGAGAATTTTTGTTTCAACAAAGTTAACATCGTACCATTTCTGGACACTAAAGTGATCCGGAACAACGATAACAAAATTATATTAGATTGGTACATAAAACCGACCAGTTCGGGGAGATATATGAATTTCCACTCTTACCATACAACGAAAACAAAAATAAATTTGGTCATAGCATTAAAGACACGAATAGAGAGGATTTCTCACCCATCACTAAGACAAAAAAATCTTAATAAGCTTTACGACATGCTGATTAACAACTCATACCCAAGTAGGTTAACTAAAAAATTGTTATATAGCACGACCCCACTAAGAGCTCCAAACCCGCGGAACACGGTCGTCCACTCAGATAGCCCAGAAATGGACGATCTGAGATGTTTTTATTTTTCATTGCCATACATTAAAGAATTAACGACCACACTCACAAAAATTCTGAGAGCACAAACAAATATTAAGATAGCATATAAACAAACAAAAACATTGGGGAGTGTCTTTAGCAAACTAAAAGATAAGGATGAGGTACAAAAGAATTCAGAAGTAATTTATAGCATCCCCTGTAATCAGTGTGATCAGGTATACATAGGACAGACATCGCTAGTACTTAAGGATAGAATTACGTCACACAAGAGTGATTGCAGACTTAATAAGAACACCTGTTCATTAGCAACACACTCTAACCAAATGGATCACGATGTTAACTTTGTTGAAACAAAAATTCTCCATAAAGAAAGCAACTACAACAAAAGAGCAATTTTGGAAATGGTGGAGATCTTCTTGGAACCGAAATCGGTCAATAAAAGATCTGACATTGATGGCCTCAGTGTGATCTACTCTAATGTCTTAACTTTACAACCAACCGTCAATCGAATTGCGTTTGCTGATAATAGTGTCGTCACAATGTAATTATAATTTAGAAAAATAGTCCCAAGCCTCTATACATTAGGTGCCTTGTAAACAAAAAGGAGGTAACAAAAGGAAAAAAAGAAGGGAAAAAAACTGGACGGCTGGCGGTAGTCATATTAATAAGACCTTTCCATCATTTGCGTTTTGCGTTTGAAGTAAAATTCGTTTAAATAAAATGTAACAACAATTTCGTCTAGATGGCTGCCCTCGGTTATAATAATTAACGGTCGTATTTGATTCTTTCTGTTATCCGGATGAGTTTGGTGTTGGCCTATAATGGCACTGTAGCAGTAAGTACTTTAACTAGAAGACTTTAGTATTAAATAACTAAGAGCCGCTTTCATATTGTAGCCCCTGAAGAAGAAAATAAACATTTTCGAAAGCTTGGTGTAGCACAAAAGCCTTTTATTTGAGCCCTCATCAGGACCGATACCCCAATTAACTAAAATTTGTTGTTCAACTAGCCGGTCACGACTACCGTTTTGTATGTATATATATATATATATATATATATATATATATATATATATATATATATATATATATATATATATATATATATATATATAATGAAGCATTGAAGATGCCAGTAGTAAAATTAAATATAATAGTTTGTTAATATAAGTTTATATTCTATTTTTTCTTATAAAGTCTTATAAGTCTTTTCTTGGTAGTGCCCTTTAATAGATTTTGTGGTATTTTATTAAACACATGAATGAATATAAGATTTTCTTGTTAATAAAAAATCAGAATAGTTCCATTTATAGGAAACCCTCGTACACAAACCTATACCTGTTGACACCGGGGGTTTGCAGCATTCGATGCAGGACAAAAAAACATGAGATAGAAATAAATTCATCAGCATCAACGAAAAATCCGAGAATCCATAGACATCTATAAACAAGTCATCTTAAACGCGGACTCACTTTTCACCAATATGGTAATCAGTCGTTCAAGACAATGTTCTTTAGTTAAGACTCCTCAAATGGAATGTAAGGAAGTATAAGGTAGACTGCAAATCAGTTTCAGTTAAACTCCGAAAATGTCAACGGGATGATTGGCGATAAGTCAGCAAGTATTGATCAACAACCTACACAGGAGGAATCGAGACGATTTGCAAATAACATTACTATTATTACTAGTATATCAAATAAATTTGCCTAAAAGGACATTAGAAACAGTTTCTTTCGATTTTAGCATAAATAAAAATCTCCGATAGGTTGTAAAGGTTCATTTTCAGGGCGAACGCATATTTCCGATTGACGAAGCCGCGGGAGGCGGTTCAGGATTGTACGCACGCGTTATTTCTCGACGAAAGTTACCTCAAAGCATTGCTTCGTCGGGCCAAGTGCTACATGGACCTGGAGGAATACGAGGAGGCGGTCAAAGACTACGAGAAGGCTTGCAAAATCGACAAGAATAGAGAAAACAAAAGACTGTTGCAGGACGCCAAATTCGCTTTGAAGAAGAGTAAGCGAAAGGATTACTACAAAATTTTGGGGGTGGACAAGGGCGCCAGCGAGGACGACATCAAGAAAGCTTACAGGTATTCATAGGGTGGTATAGCTATAGGGTGGCCAAACAAGCGCGCGAAGTACCGCTCTCGGCACTATTCATCATCGAGACTTGATGATGATCCCTAGTGACGTGACCGACTAGTTAAAATGATTTTTTTATGAAATCTTCCTAGTAAATTAAACATTTTAAAACTAGACTTTTTAATTTTTTGTCATGCACATTACTCATTATTTTACTTCATTCAACATTTCCTTTCCAAGGTACAGACAAAATAAATTTGAGATCTAGAATCTTTGCACTATTTTATCAACTCCATGTTTGTAAACAGTATTTTATTAACTCCATGTTTGTAAACTGTACTCAGATGGCATACTTTCCACGTGATTCACTAGACGTTTCATAAATGTGGACGAACTAGAATCATAAATTCAATTTCAAAAAGTCGTTAAATTTTAAAGATAAAAGTTATTGAACTTCAATTCAGTGTTATCATAAAAATAATTAATAATAATTATTGGAGGCTCTCTCTGAATGACATATAAAAAATATTATGAAATATGTTCATCATCGTCTAATTAATATAAAAATTTCATTATTCGATTATTAATTAATGACCAATGAGAACAAACAGTACAAGATATATAAAAATCATAGTTAAAACAGAATCACCCAGTTGGTTTTTAAAGTGATTTTTTCTGTAAGTCTTAAATGACTAAGCTGATTTTAAAAAACTTCTCATCCTATGTCATAACAGAACTCAAAAGGTCATAACTGTTTTGCAATTAAATCAGATCTAAACAATGATGGTTTTCGAAGAAAATAAAATTAGTTAAATTACTTCTTAAATTAAATAAAAACTTTAAAAATTTGAATTCAATCTAAATTAATTTAAACTTTCTGGTTATTTGCAATTACAGCTTCGCAAATTGACAATGGTCTGTAATGGAGGTCCAAATGCTTTTAATTTCTTCAATTTTTTTATTCGTTATTGAGCTGAACATCGCATAACTTTTTTTTTGTATATGAACCAGTGCTTGACAACCTTAGCCAAGTGTTTTAATTCATGTCATGTTGAAAAGCAAACCTGTGACGCATTTCCCACTCTGAGTAAGGCAGCAGCACTATTCATTATTCCCTCAATCTGATGAATTGATCCAACTCCAAAGGCGGAGAAGCAAGCCCATACCATAATATTACCGTTGTGTTAACGTATTTAGGGTCAAGTCTTTTTGTATCTGGACGACGTATCCATTTTGCACCATCACTTCCACAACATTTTGATTCATCAAAAAACAAAACCCTTTTCCAATCTCTTGGTGTCCAATAATAATACATTTCTGCCCCAACCAAACGCCTTTGGATTCTCTTTGATGACACTTTTATCCCCTCTACTTGACTTAAAGATGGCAAAACTTATATTGCAGGAAGTTTTTGGGATCACTGTTAACAGTTTTTCGGTACCGAGTCCCACTTTCGCGAATATGAATATTTTTTATAGTTGTGGAGACAATATCCTTTGTAATCTATTAATATCTTTTGCTAATATTAATTTCTAGAATACAATTGTGTAGGCCATACTGCGAGGCATTTTATAATAAAGTAGTTAATAGATATTAAACTGAAAAAAAGTTTATTTCATTTTGTTCCAGTGTGTTTGCCGAAAATAAAACATCACAAAAAATCAGATGCATTCTGTGTTGGGTTGCAAAGTTATTTACCTCAAATTAAGATTGGTATGGCTAAATAAAAAAAATATAGTTGGTTTAATTTTGTCCCACACTGTAATTTATATCAAGATCGAATTGGGCTGTTGTAACTTCAACACATTCAAAAATTGTAAAATTGTTGTCTAAGACGTTCCATTTTTCCTGTTCTTTCCCTTACCCACTTTTCGCTTTAAAAAATATTGAAAAAGTCTTACAAGGTGGTGGAATTGACCAGTCAAATTTTTTTGTGTCAATTGACCGAAATGATTTTAAACATACCATGAAATTTATATTTATTTATTTATATTTATATTATATTTATGGAGTGAATATTATTATTATTGGAACTCCCGAATCGCTACGTATCGTATTTGAATATTCATTGAAGAGGGTTATAGGTAAATTGGACATCACAAACGTCAACATAGTCAACTAAGATGTGATCAATTGACCAGTCCCAACACTATTATAGGTTCATCCCATAAAAATTCGAAACAAGGGCCTGCTAACTAATTTACTTTAATAGCATTGTTGTTTGCAGAATATTGAGTTAATAAACCTCTTATTATTATTGTTATTATTATGTCGAGATACTGTTTTCACTTTTAGGAATCATTTTATGAAGCTTGTTAAAATCCTCCCCTGATTACCACCACCACTGCTTAATAGATAGGTAAAAAAATGTTTCAAAAAATCACTTGCGTAAAGCTTTGTTTAAAAAAATGGCGGTTATGACTTACCTTGACCACCATCTTGGAAATCTGAAAATATTATCCATAGTCTTTTTCGACCACTGTAGCGATAACATTTTTTGCCGCAAGTGTCTCCACTGCGAATATTTTCTGAGATGCAGTACTTTGCCCGCCTGTTTGGCCACCCCGTACCCAAAGAATAAACTCGGTAAGTTTAGGTTTCAGGAAAAGAGCGTTGGTCCATCATCCAGATAGACACGCGCACGCCACCGATCTGGAGAAAAAGGAACAGGAGAAGAAGTTCAAGGAAATCGGAGAGGCTTACGGCATCTTATCTGATCCGAAAAAAAAGGCTCGTTACGACAGCGGCCAGGACATCGAAGATTACAATCAAGGAATGTCAGGTAAGTAGTTTGTAAAATATTATCCCACCTTAGCATCAAAAGGATACTTGCATCCCTAGCCTATACCGAGAATGTGTTTAAACTCATACACTTATAGTCCAGTGGCGGAAAAAAGTGTAGGAACTGTTAATAATGTTTATACTACTCAGGATTGAAGTAAGCTGGAGCTTTTTTAATTTTCATTCCTTAAAAGACTCCACGGATGTAACTTTTGGTTCTCCATTTCTGGGATTTGTGTTTCCAAATAGGTGTGCAACTTTTTATAACTTGTGTTCTAAATTATCCATTCTAGACCGTACAGTGCAAATATCGTGTAAAAGTAAATATTTATCCGGCCCAGTCGCCTTTACTTTTCATCTCATTTCAGACAAAAAATTGTAGGTTTATTTAAAATGGAGAAAAAAAAGTCGGTAATTAACGTAACGACTGAAGACAAAGTAAAGTGCTGCACTATTTTATAAGAGATAGCGGGAATCCGTAAGGTCACGCTCCTTTGTCAATATCAAGTTTTAAATTAAAAGTTAATAAATTGTTGATATTGTGATGGTGCAACCAGACCATTACTGCCAAGCAAATATGTTACTGCTGCGTACATTTCAGAAAAATATTCTTGGAACAAATTAACATTATCACTTGCATAGGATCCCTTAATGTTATAAGATATACTATTAACAAATCTTAAGATTTTTCCCATATTCAGCCTCAAAGAAGACTGTCGCAGCTATATAACTTTGGTAGCATTGACTTTTGAAGGTTTGGATTATTAAAGTTCAAATTTTATTATAGTGCAATTGTGAGGTACCTTTTATGAGCTTTTTTCTATGATTGTCTCTTTTACCTCATGGGAGAACCAAGCAAGAAAGTTCAAGGGAACAAAAAAACACAACCGACAAATATAAAATTTCATAAAATCATTTCTTAAGAGCAAAGTTACGATAAAAGCCTACTATTATTTGAAAAACAGATAATTCTATCAATTTGATAAGAACAAGTAAATCAATACTTTTAGAATGTCCTGACATTTTAAAAGGTCCATTATTCTAAAATAAATTACCTTCTCAAACACGTTCGATAGCAGTGACACCGGCCTCGGGGTGAACTCCAGATTCATTAATTATCTTATATGCTGTCAATAAAATAGCACACTGTATTTTCCTAGCGCATAAATTAAAAAATTAGATAATACGTTCAACAAGATATCAAGTGCACAATGATTTTGGGAAATTTGTGTGTGCATTTTGTTCAATCTAATGCAACTTAATTTACTAGTAATGGCTAAGTTTGTATTAATATTTAAAATTGAATATTGAATTTGAAATGAAATGAAATGAAATTACATTATGATTAAATTTATCACTAAATTGATTTTATTCACAGTTCAACTAAACCAGAAGCGATAAAAAATCTTAATTTTTGTATATTGTATACTGATTGCTTTACAAATTTTGTTGAAAGTGAATACTCTGATGACTATTTTAATGTAGATTTTGTTAATAATTTCACTTCAGTCAAAAATTATTTAGAAGGATATAGCAACAGCACCCCAAACACCATGGGATAACATTGATTCTACCAAAGATTTATTTATTTTAATAAAAGAACTCTTTGGCAAACATTTGGCGCATTATATAAAAAAGAACGGCTCAGGGTGTCACGTGTCAGGGTGTAACAGAGTGTCGAGTGTCTTGGCCAAATCGTAAAAGACAATACACTTTTTACATCATGATTATGCTGACCGCTACTTTGTTCAACTCATCTTTTTTCCTAAAACCAAATCTATTAATGTTGAATAAGGTATTTTTTTCTAAAATCTTTTTTAATCTAGTTTCAATACACTTTTAAGATATTAGCTTGTGCAATTGACCTGTAATTCAACATTTGGCCTCTCGATCCAGATAGTGGGTAATAATGGTAATAATAATAACAGCGAAGTAATAAAATATTTATAGTTTTTTCTAATGGGATCGTTAGATATACCACAACCAACATTTGACTCCGCATTTTCAGAGATTTTACTCAAATTACTTTTTTCCACTATTACTCCTTTGCAGAATCTGAGCAACACTGCTTTCCCATATTTGTCTTGGTCCTTCATGTTTTTTTTTCTTTTTTTATTTTTTGGCTTCTATTTTACTTGTGTTTTCCAACCTGCGTTTTTTTGAATTCTGGTGTCCATTGATCCATTGTACTTCAAGGTGGTATCCTGGCAATATACATTTACTCATATGTACATTTTTTGTTTTATGTAGCGGAGGGAGTGGCATCCAACTTTGCTATTTATAGAACGCATTTTTTGTCAGGTGTCCGAGCGCAAGGTCGTCATTATTTATTTTAGCGTTTTACGGTCTTCGAGAGTGGCGAAAACTGTAAAGCAATATATTGCGCTTAATTGGTACATTGCTGTATTACAACGTTCAAAATTAGGCAGGTGGTATTTGTTATTCCGTATTTTAAGGACATTTCGTAATATTTAGAAAAAAAAGTTGTTGGAAACGTCATGAGTATCCATAAATATGCGGCGTAACTAATTAGAAGCTTGAAATAGGAACGAAAAATTCAAAAAATCACTGGAAATTTTTATGACTTTAAACGAGAACAATAAAGTGTACTACTATCTGCCAACCCCAGTAAGGAGTGATATTCATAATTACTGTTATTCTCAGACAAAAAATAATCTAGAAAATCACTACGTGTAAGCAGAAAACATCATTGCTTAGCAAAACGTCGGAAATTTTGTAAAACAAATAGAGACACTGTGATGAATTCCAAGTGCAGAAAATTTTGTCGCTAACTAAAAAAACGAAGTAACGGATTACCTAAGAGAAACTTAGATAGCAGAGGATCACTATACAAATTCAAAAACACTAAAATGCGATTTTGTCGAAATTAAAAAATAAAATCCTCAGCAATGATGATATAGAAAATTTCTAGGTATTAATGAAACTTATTGAAAATGATTGAGCAGTTGAGGTTTCGAGAGAAGCCTTACAGAATTTTGCTTACAAGAAATTATTAAAATTTCAATGGAGAATTTTGGTGGATCCAAGAGGTTGCAGGTTCGGAGTAATTCATACACATTTTTTGTTCCTACTTTCCTGGATAGAAATTGTATCCCTCGACGCCCACTCTATTCAGGATGTCGGACATTAGTAAACTGAAAAGAAAACTTTTCTAAATTTCTAGGTAACACATTTTCAGACCCTTTATTCTTTATTAAATTTATTGCATGTGTAAACTTTTATTACTGGGCATGTTTTGATTGTAAAAATCCCAGGATGATTCTCGGTTAAGCTCATTACCTCCTGCTTTTTTGGAGGAATGTTATGTTTTTTAAAAAAACATTCCCCAATTTTTTTTCTGATCTTTTACTTATGTTACCAGCTTACGTTTCTGTTTTTTTATTTTTTTTCCTCCAGGAATGTCTTCAGCAGCAAAGGCACTAAGTTGATTCTGATTTTTCAATTCATTCGGGTTTTGATTTTCTAACATATTTTCGTAAATATCTTTGAAGAATTATCATCCCTTTCCTCTTTGATCTCATCATTTAGTTCTGTTTCACTCAGAGGTTTACCTTTATTACCTTTATTATTTTCAAATAAGGCACTGTTTTGTGAAAGTAATAATAACTTGCTCACTTTAGCAGTTTGGAAAACATCGTCTAGCAAACGATAAAAACTGAATGCGTTTTTTTCAGCATGACCCATAAATGAAGCAAGCTTCTTTAATTCATTTTTGTAAATTTTAAAGATCTGAGTGATAGTTGCCAACTGCTTTCTTAACCTAATGATGCCGTCTGAATGTTTTCTCATGGTCGTATATCATCCAAATGTTTCCGGTAATCCAAAAAAATACTGATTATTTTCAAGATCAAAATTTTTTCTCAAATTCACCAAAGAGAACGTAGAATCTAGGGCGATTTTGTCAAAAAGTACAAGTACTCATCTACCCCTTTTTCCTCTGATGACTATGCGTTTGTGTGATTTAAATAAAATTTACTCGAAATTGTCAGCACTTTTTCAATTCGGATTGAATCGTGGATTTCCAAAAAAGCTAACAGAGTCATTCTTTGGAGTTTCCCGACCCGCCATTTATTAAAAATCATGACACTGCAGAATATACCTTCCGATAAGTTTTTTCCTTGTGATCATAGAAAAACACCTAAAAAATGCTGTAATTCTGATTGTATTCCTAACTATCTCTATTTCAAAATCACGTTTTTAGTGGTAATCTAAATTTTAAAGTCATTATTATTTCATTGGCATAGTCTGTAGTTGGTGAGACACAAATAAAAAACCGTAAAACAACTCTTCATTGGAACCTTCGGCACTGTACCAACCCACTATATACATTTTGCCACAAACCGAAACACAATTTTACGCCATCGTCGCGTGTTTCGCCAACCAAATTCCCATCTGCAGGAGAATATCAAAACTTAATATTCCATTGAAAATGTCAACTTGGTACTGAAATGCGCATCTATGACGTAAAATTATGTGTCGGTTTATGATAAAACTTGTCTTATAAATAGTATATTATGCAACAAGTGCGGTAAACGTGTTGCATACTATACTTTTTTCCAGTCCGGTCTGTAAAGTACCTAATTATACACCAATCTAGGGTGTGGCGAGCGTCACTTTACCACATCAGTTTCGTTTCCCACGGATCCGAGCCACTTCGGGCATTTCCGGGTTTGGGAGCAATCGGATGTTTTCGGAAATATTTCCCACGCTTTGAATTTTGACGTTTGTTTATTCTAACGGTCATGTCAGTAAATGTATTAGTGTTGTTTTGCGAAAATGTACCCAAAAACGGTCGTAGAAAATAGTATATTATGCAACAAGTGCGGTAAACGTCATTTGAACGAAGCGGGCGTTTAATAAACGAGTGACTTAAAAAGTTTACTGAACGTGTTGCATACTATACTTTTTCTACGACTGTTAGTTTCTGGGTACATTTTCGCCAAAACACTCACTGACAAGACCGTCGGAATTGACAAACGTCAAAATTCAAAGCGTGGGAAATATCTCCGAAAACATGCGATTGCTCCCAAACCCGTGCGGTAAAATCCCGGAAATGTTTGAGGTGACTCGGATCCGTGGGAAACATAATTTACGTGGTAAACTGACACTTCCTGCACTCTAAATCGGTGCTTAATTAGGTATTTTACAGGCGGGAGTAGAAAATATATATTTTTTATTTACACAAATTTCAAAAAATGATTTACCTTGATATTTTTCGCTACAGGTATTAATGTCGGTTTATTGAATTTTTTAAGCCAAATTCTGACCGGCTTTGCTCAAAACTTCAATTGCCCAGTCATTTATTATACATACCTGAGAAAATACGAAGCTTATAATTTAATCATAAAAATTCCTACCTGCTAGGGTCTTGTATAGAGCACGTTTATTGCCGAAACAAATTAACCGAGGATTTAAGATAGGAGAAAACCATTCTGCATTTGTTTTTGTTGACATTTTTTTTTTACTTATCAAGTTCTTATTCATTTCAAAGGACAGTTTTAGTTTAGTTTTTCTGTTTTCCGTTGTTTTCTATTTCTACTCCTAAGTAATTGAATCTTGTGACTTGCTGTATCCATACATATGTTTATTTCCTATCACCGCTACTTTTGTCTTAGTTTTATTTCGTATTACTCGAAAATCCACCCGAGCGTTATTTGAATGGCTCTGAAACATTATATTTATGAAACGCTTTCTCCGACTCAATGAAGTCCAAATATATTTTATTATTTTGGTATTACCTTTTCACCTTTTTTTGTTTTAATCTGACTATGTGATACTTCTTCCATTTTTGAATCCACTTTGGTGCTTAGATTATTTGCTATTACCGGTTCTTATCTTTCTGTTTATGCCTTGATTTATTAATTAGTACAGTCCAATTTATCCCATTTCTAAACTATTGGGATTATTAAAGATGTCTTCCAATCTTAAGGAATGCATTCTTTGGTCCATACTATTATATAATTTGACAAGGATTTCCTATCCACTTTCACCAACGTGTTTGATCATATCATTTGTTATTTTATCGCATCCCTGTACTTTTTCATTTTTGAGTTCCTTTATTAGTTGTTCCTGTTCATCATTATCTTCTTATTCCCCTAATAGTTCCATGAAAAATTCTCTCCAGCTTTGCATCATTTTGTTGGCTGTTGTTAATACCCCTCATCCATTTTTGTTTTTAGCTTGGGATATGTAATTGAAAATTGAAAATGTTAGTATATTAAATATTGTTATCAATTTATGTTTACTACTGTAAGCGTTTTACAATTTTGCATTTAGAAGTATGGGCGAGTGATCAGAATGATATGCTGAGAATATATTTATAATATCCATATAAGTAAGCATATTATTTGTGTCGTTTTAATTTTAACTCAATGGATCTATTGTTTGCAGATATAGACCCGACGCAAATTTTCCAGACGTTCTTCAGCACGGGCGGACACGGCAACGGGGCGGAGTTCAACATGAATGGGTTCCCGGGAGGATTCTCTTTTCAATTCGGTTAACGCGATTTTCGCGTTCTTTTGACTTGTTAGCTTGTGTACATTCCGACCTAATTAAATTGTAACTAGCTCCCTCTTCCGGTAACCAACACCTCATTATTCAGTATGCTATATTTATCAGTTAGTGTTGCGCATGCGCGTTATTTGATAATTTTGTTGTTTGCCCTATAATGTACCCCAGAGGTGAATACAATATAGACGAATAATAGAAGGTTTCTCTATTCCCTTTACAAACCATTGCAAATATATTTATGGAAGTTTTTGAGAAGAAAGCCCTCAACACCTATCATTTAAACCCATAACTATGGAAACTCTATTTTGTTGATACTTTTGTTAATTGGCCAAATGGTCAAGAATTGTTCTGAGATTTTCTTAACCATTTAAACTATAAACCCTAACATATGTTTTACAATTGAATTAGAAACTAATCATAATCTAGATATTTTTATCGATAGGAAATCAGACCTAGCATGGGGTGATTCAGTTTATAGAAAACCTACACTAACAGACCGGTTATTGAATCCATTGTTGCTTCACTATCTAGCCCAAAAGTTATTGGTTATCAACTGTCTTGTTTCCAGAGCCATAAAATTATTGGATAAAGAATTAAAACACCTAACATCTGCTCATAGATCACAACCTCCCAAACAAAATGAGTCTGATGCTAGCCTCTATGGTCATTCCTTACATTAAAAACATTAATGATCACATATCAAAAATACTTAAGAAATATATTAAAACCAGATTTACCACTTCCCCAAAAGTCTCAATATATTCGTTCAGTTTGAGACACAAATTTACATGCCATGCATATAGGCAAAGAATACAGGAGAAACAGGACGAAAAATATCAACTATTTCGTTAGGACTAGGACAAACTCATTGGCAGTTACCATCATGAAACCCGACATCAAATCTTATTCCACCAAACTAAAATTCTTGCATCTAAACACAGAAATAATGAAAAAATATCTATAATAATATTATTTATGCCAAGATAGCTATAGCGCAATCTATTTAAAATATGCTGTAGAGTTTTTGGCATAGTTTTTGAGCTTTGAAAATTAAGTCTATTCTATTTATTTCTGCTTGAAACTTTTAGTGACATCTTTTAATTTTTGGGTAAAGTTGCATTAAAAACATTATCTTTGCTTTTTACAAAACTTCTGGATTCGTCCTGCGTCGGTTTTTGCTTAGTCAAAATTGCTGTCACTTCACCACAACATCCCAATAGCAATGAAGCCGAAAGCAATCCTACACTTGCCACTGTGGTCCTTCCTTACATTCAAAACATCACTGACCATATATCAAAAGTTGTAAAGAAGTATAACGTCAAAACCAGATTTACCACTTTTTCCAAAAATCTCTCAACATCTGCCGTCCATCAAAGACTAAATTCCATTTGAGACGCCAGGAGTTTACAGCATTCCATGCATATGCGGCAAAGAATACATTGGAGAGACACTAAAAATATGAACTAGGCTCAAAGAACATGAAAGAGTCTTGCGACGAAGACAAATAAACTCATCAACTGATGCCGAACACACTCGTGAAACCGGCCATAAAATTTTATTCAATAAAACTAAAATTCTTGCATGTAATCAGTTCTTCTACCAACGAAAAATCCGAGTCTAGAGAAATCTCTAAACAACCTAACAATCTTAACCGCGACTCAAATCTCTACCTGTCACCAATTTGGGAATCAGTTTCAGTCAAGCTCTGAAGAAGCCAACAGGATGATTGGCGAAACGTCAACAATTTCGAATAAGCAAAAACCAACGCAGGAGTAATCCAGAAATTTTGTAAAAAGCATTACAGTAGCTTGTGGAAGTTTCTTTGAAAAGTTAACATTCTCTTTTTCAAAACCTCTGATTAAAGTGTCAACCAAAACCATTTTTCTACAGGGCCTAACACTAATTCAAAATCAAATTTTTAATTTATACTAACATTCTCTGAAATCTAGCAGGACACAAAAATAAGCGGTTACTTAATTATTGAAATAAGATCAATCTAAATTAATACAGTTTGTACACCAAAAAGTGTAGCATCTGTGACATTGAGGCCCGTGGAGCAACAATTTATCCAGTGTGGTGTTGTTTAATTACAATTTATAACAAATATAGCTTATACTCTTTACACCTCTCTGGATTCATCCTTCGTCGGTTGTTGACAAATCGACCGTGCTAACGTTTCGGTTCAACGAACTCCCTAAGATTCACAAACCAGGATTGGTTTCGTACTTAATTCCTTTCACTTCATTGAACAATTAAAGTTAGTTTCGACTTAGAGCCGTTCTTTACGAAAGTCCCCTTTCCTGAAACTTTAATTTTAAATAGATTAAAATACCAGAAAACGCTCGTCCCTTCTCAAAAAAATGTTTGTCTGTAATACATTTTTCTTGTAACAGTCAAATTTATGAACAAATATCAGAAACAGCTATAGGTTCTCCATTATCACCAGTCATTGCTAATATATTCATGGAAGCTATTTGGAAAAAACCCGTCCACACTTTTCATCTAAAACCAACATTATGGAAACGCTACGTTGATGACAATTTTGTTATTTGGCGTTATGGTCAAAAATCCCTGAGATTTTCTTAACGATTTAAACTACTCGCTCTAACATATGTTTTACTGGAAACTAATAATCATCTCCCATTGTTCGACATTGTTATTAATATATACCTTAATAATAACTTAGTCCATTCGTTACATCATCATCCGGCCCAAAAATTATTGATTATCATTGATTGATATATAACGTCAAAACCAGATTTTCTACACTCCAAAAATCTTTCAATATATTAGATTCGTCAAAGACACCATTTTATAAACAGGACGAAAAATACCAACTAGGCTAAAAGAACATAAGAGAGTTAAGAACACGAAAAAATGGAATAATCAGCAGTTGCCGTACGCAATTATGAAACCGGACATCAAACCTTATTTGATCAAATTATAATTCTATCATGTAATCAATTCTTCTGCCAATGAAAAATCCGAGAATCCATAAAAATCTATAAACCACGAAACAACGTTCACGCCCGTCCGCCTCCCTGAAACAGTATATGAACAGGTCCGGAATAGAATCCGAGCTAGTTGCAGTTAAGCTCTGAGGAAACCAACATAATGATTGGATAAATCCAGATGTGTAAATAATATTGCAATAGCCTTTGAAAAATTAAAGGTACTTTATGTGTATAAAAATGATTTAATTAGAAGGACACCGCGATACTACCCGCTTAACATAATTAGTTGGTTGGTACCATGCCTATAATTTTGTGGAACGTAGGTATAGTTCCACACATATTTCACAGAGACTTCTTGCAACCTATCCCCTCCCCGAAGTTTCAACTTGGATTTGATATAAAATCTCGCATAATCAAATCTTTTTGATACACATAAGTAAACACTAATAAAGACGATTCAAGAAATAATCGACCATTTAAACGTAAACGTATTCAGGATGTTTCTTGCATATTAAAGCAGACTATCAATGGTCCTTTTTTCTCCAGACGAAATTGGCACACTAGTTCGCAATGCATGGCAGGTGAGAGAAGATACTTACAATTATTCAGAGGAAAAGTAATAGTTCGAAATATGAAAAATTCCAGGCTTCCAATATTTAAGATAAAGTTAAAGGAAAACACTTTATTATCCCTACATCTTTAAATTAGGGTATATCAAAAGAAAAGTTTGGTTGGAAAAACTTGAAGAATTTGCATATTTGCAGAAAACTAAAAAAAAATAACTTTTTCCAATAAAACTTTTCAAAATTATTCCAATTTTTTGTTTTATAAGAAATGTCAATTTTTACGCATAATGGCAAATGTTTGAGAATATTCTTAAATTGATTAATTCATTAATTTTGATGCACAAACTATCTCGAGGATCAAAAGTTGCCAAAACTCATTAATAAAAAAAGTTCACATTTCTTTAGTGATTAAGAGAATTAATGAACGAAAAACTTTGTCTTTCGATAGCAACAATTTGCTCAGATCCTATTAAATTTCCTGAAAAAAACGTAGTGTGTTGTTGCTATTTAAAAAATAGAATAAAGTCTAAGTTAATGGATAAAATTCGTGCCGAATCGATTGGTCCCAAACTAACAATTTCCTGCCACTGACACTGTGGTTTCCACCAGAAAACCTGACCCAAGATCCCTAAATACAAGCACGACGCTTCCCCTCACCTCTGCAACTACAATGGAAGACGTCACTCAGCGTCCTTCTGGATTCCTCCTGCTCGCATTTTACTCTGTACCTGCTTATATATTGTTTGAGGGGGGCGGAGCTAAATGAGGGGCATAACCACTTCTCCGATGAATGATTCCCAAGTTGGTGACGGGTAAAGACCTGAGGTTAAGATTGTTAGCTTGCTTATAGATTTCTGTAGACTCTCGAATTTTTCCTTGGTAGAAGAATTGATTACATGCAAGAATTTTAGTTTTATCGAATCAAATTTTATGTCCGGTTTCGTGATTGTGTTCGGCAACTGCTGCTGAGTTTTATTTGTCTTAAAGCTTTTACATGTTCTTTGAGCCTAGTTGATATTTTTCGCCCTGTCTCTCCAAAGTATTCTTTGCCGCATATGCATACATGCTGTAACGGAATCCAGAAGTTTTATAAAAAGTATTACAGTAGCCTATAGAAGTTTCTTTGAAAAATTAACTAATGAGTATGTGCAAGATACCTTTAGTAAATTTTTAAATTATGGACTTTAAAGGAAAATACATCTATAGATTTAATTTTGTCAGTTTTTATGATATTCAAAGTATTAATCCCATGTTTAATGGATATAGTTATTGTACAGATAATGTATTGGCCCACTAAGGAAAAATTAATGCGCCGCAAGCACTGAATTTTTTTCATGAAGGTCAGTAATACTATAAAGTGCCTTTTTGTAGGTTTTTGTTTTCTCCGACTTTTCGTTAAATATTTCGTCCTTATGAATAAAAAACGCCGTTTCATCAGTCGTTCTGTCAGCACGCCCAAACAGTGTAACCCTTATTTCAGGAAGTGAAATAAAGATTACATGCGTTAAAAAAATCTCAAAATGTTCAGAACAAACACCACCCATGTACCATCCTCCGCCATTAAATCTAGATTTGTTTAAGTCCTTTAAGTTTCGGAAATCGATAAAATATTTTTTTCCCAAATTTTAATGTTTTTGTGCTGCTTTTATAGCAAACGGACACATACATCGCATCGCATCATCAGGTATTTATATCTTAGATACATGGATAATTCCACTCTAAATGTTACTTTTTTACTTAAAATTTCTCTAAGATTTTAAAACTAGTCTTTTTAAATAAAAGCCTAAAAGGATTTTTATTACAACTTCAAAAACAAGAAACAAATTTCAAATTTTCTGTTTTACTCCTTTACCCATGGTACTGATAAAATAAATTAGAGTTATAAAATTATATAAACTATTTGCACTATTTTTTTGTTAGTAAACAGTACTCAAATAGCAGGGATACTTTCAACATGATTCACTAGACGGTTCATAAATCTCAAGGTAGATGGCGCTCGAGTCATAAATTCAATGTCAAATACGTTAAATTTTAAGGACAAAAGTTATTGAACCGTCCATGATCATCTAATTAATGGAAAAATTTTATTGTATTATTAATTAATTAAATCATATCAGCCCAAAGTGGACCTAATTTTTCAAAGTGTGACAAAATCTTTTGTACACTTGAGACATCTCCAAACTGGAATCTTTGCGCTGTTCCGAACATCCAAAAATTCAATGGCGACTATAAGAAAAAGAAATTAAGGCAGGTTGCGAGATAAAAAAGACTATTGAGACATGCCATACGGGTAATCGTACTCGTCTTAGAAAAGTGTCTGAACAATGTCACATTTTGACAGCTATCAATTTAACTGATTTGGATATACTGGCGAAAAGCGAAATCCCCCGTTTTCGGTTTTTCGAAGATATTTTCGAAACCAATTGACCGATTTTAAATTTTAAACCTGTTATCAAATGCATTAAATTTCCTCTAAAATTTTGCCCATTTTAACTTTTGCTGTAGATATAATAGGAGCGGAGAGCCCTGTATGGAAATTTGGTAAGTTTAATGTGATCCATAGACTAGATAAGTTACTTTTCCATCTGTGCTATGGTATAATCAAATCAGAGATTTTTTTGTAAGGGGTTAGGAATTTATTATATAATTTTTCAATAACTGCTTTAATAAAGATAGAAAATGGATGGTGCGCCCAGAGTAGCAAGAACGCCACTGGAATTATTAGAAAATAGTCATAACGTTGAGCCAGGCTTATTGAATAAGTATTGGGGTCCCTTTATATGTGGAACAGCAGGATTTCTAACTGTAATCCTCGCTAATTTTGCAACTAAACGACCTCTATTTAGTAGTATCCACAAACATATTCTAAGTACAGCAGCTGGTGTAGGCATTGGCTTTATTTCTGAAAATTATCGGGAAAAATACTATGCTGATCGAGATGCAGTTCTTCGCCATTATGTGCAGTTGCATCCAGAAGATTTTCCAGCATTTGAAAGAAAACAGTATAAAAATGTGTTAGAGAAGTGGTATCCAGTACGTTAAGAGGGACAAAATGATTTGTTGTTAGAATGGTGTTAATGGAATTAAAGGATTTCCAGTTGCCTTTCTTTTTTTATTTTGTTCAATATTCCCCTAAAAATACAAATCTTTTAACATTTATTAAATACCAAAAGCTTAACTTTAAAAGCGGTTGCAAAAAAAAACAAAAGATGAAACACCTGAACACTGAAATTAATTATAGCTTTTCCTAAAACCCCATTACAATGAAAAATTTAAAACTCACATAGATTTTTCTAAAACCTAAAATCTACTATTTTTAATTGCATTAGTATTAACAAAATATTTTCCATTATGAACCATATGTATGTAATATGATTTATCAATGAAATTAATTTTTTTGGAATAATAACCCAGTAATTACACCCTAAATTTTTTGTTAATACTATAATGAAAATATTCGTTACACTATTACAACTTTACAAGATTTATTAAGACAAATTATAGTCACATTCTATTTTCCAAACCTATGCAAAAGTTTAGCAGTCCAGATTGCGTAAATAATATGAAGCTAAGATTATAACTTCCTCAAATGAAAAGTGATTCTAGATTAATGCACTCACGCATCTATACATAAATTTTGTAACTTTACCACAGCAAAATATTCTTTACGTAATCACGTGAATAAAAAGTAAACTTTTAACTTCTAATACTTCATTTCATTCAAACTTCATTATTTACAGTTATAAGAGGACTAAAATTACAAACCATAAATTTTCATTTATGTAACTCCCTACATTAATTTTAATTTAATTTTTTGCTTGGATGCCCATCAATCCCATAAGAAGATGAAGATGACTTTATGTCTGTCATAGAAATTGCCTTCTTTAATAAAACATAAAACACTAAAATAAAGCTAAATCCAATTGAAAAATAAAGAAACTTTCCAGAAAATAAGAGCTTCATTAGATAATAGAATGAAGGTATAAGTATACAAACTAGCCAGAAGATCATATTAAGTAATACACATATACGTCTCTGGGAAGGCCATGGTTTTACACGGTCCACTCCAGATTCAGTGAAAAAATCACCAGTTCTAAAAAAGCTGTCTTTTAATCTGTCCTTCCTGAGAAACATATCAATTAAAAATTGTTCTTGTCCACTTATTGATTCTGGAACTTCCTCTAATGGAATTCTTTTAATGTACATGTGAGCTGTGATTGGCTTTGCCATTAGAAGATTGGTAATTGTTGGCTCCACTGAATCATTTGGATTAAATGCTATAACAGTGTCATAGATTGCAGGAATTTTATTTCTCATTGAAGGCAAACTACCAACAAACCCTTTAGTTCTTGGAAGTAAATGGTGTTTCAGTTCAGGCAAATTATTTTTCTTAGCAAACTCCAATGAAACTATATGTTTCTTCTCAGTAAACCTTGTTCCTTCAGGGAAAAGCAATAGCCACATAGGATCGGGATGATCAGCCAGTTCGGTGATTTGCTTACTTATAACAAGTTTATCCTTTTCAAAGGACCTCTCCAAAAAAACAAACTCTGCAAATTTCCAGCCCCAACCAAGAACAGGAAGATATTGGATAGATTTTTTTGCATAAGCTTTGCAATTTCCAAGCACTTTCATTTTTTCACAAGCCATCCATCCCATCAACCAGTCTATTTCGTATGAATGGTTCATTATACAATATCCGTGTTCTTTACCATAATATTTTTCCCAATCATTTTTATCAATATATAATAGCAACTTAGTAGACGCCCACCATTCAGCTACAAAAACCACTTGTGCATAAATAGTATAACATAAAAAATAATTAATTTTTCGGTAGAGGTGTTTGTTCCAGGGCCTTAAAGTAAAATAGAATATTGCTTGGATTATATTCACGATAATTCCAGACGCAAAAAATGTAATCGCCAGACACAAGTGTAGGAGTCGCGATCTTTTAAAATGGTCCATATTGAGAAAATCCATTTCACTAAAAAGTTTTGATTGAAATCCTACTCGTTATCAGAACTCCAGCTTAATTGTAATAACTAACCAAATTCTTTTTAATTCAAATCAATGAACAATAAATAGTTCCCATAATTTTATTATTTATATTATATTACCACTGATCATAGACTGAAATTGAGTGTGGCAATTACAGACTGAGCGGCGACAAGAATTTTCTTATTACGTGACAGAAGCTGCAATTTGACCAAGGTCTACAACAGCTTCAATTTTGGATTAGTGAAAATTCTGCTGACAGTTTATTGGTACGAAGCAAGAATCGTAAACCTAATAGGATTGCCTAATCCGCCGAATCTGTCCGCAAGTGCAATGCGAAAACTCTCGCTGGCTGTGACGTAGGTGAAGTCCTTTCGAGTATTTTGAGTAACTAATATAGCATTTTGTTTGGATAATCACTGGTTATTTTCATTTAATGTCAACATTAAATCGTTTTAGTACTTATTTAATAATAATTGGGAAGTAGCGTAGGCTAGGGTCTCAGGTAGGGTAAAAATAGTACTATTGCAATCAAGTTTGGCTTATATGTATTATCTTGAAATACATATATTAATTAAATATTGTTACACAGAAAGACATAAAACTAGCGAACAAAACGATTTACTTGTAAAGCTTTGTGTTTTACGGCATTCTACCATTTTAAATATACAAAAATCAACAAATACTTATAAACTAGAAATCCCTATTTTATATATATTAAAGAACATATTAAAAAACAAAAAATATATTAGGCATACATAACAACTATTTATAGGTGGTAGGTAAATAATATGTATTTATATATATGTACATAATATAAAAAATACATATTACTACATATTTTACCATACTTTCTAATTTTTTTTTTATTTGGGGTTCGAAGATGGGTTCTGGAGATGGATTTTTCTCTAGAACTTCACTTGTGGCATTTGAAATTGTTGCTAAAAGCTCAGACAATACCTGCTGAGCTAATTTTATGGTATTTTTGGAATGAAGTCTTTTTGACCTAGATAATCCTCCTTCTGTTGGTGTTTCGGGTTAAATAATAATAGGGTGGGAACAGCAGTTTTTTTTAGAATCTTTTAAAGGTAAACCTAAAATTTAAATTTTGTGGTGATTTTAATGTGTTACTCAAGACAAAAAAAAAACCTAATAACTCATTTTGTAAGTCTCTTTCGTAATCATTTTCAGTAAAATGAACTGAGCAGACATAGCTTTTATCTGGATTAAGTTTCTCCTCTCTTCTACATTGAACTATCCACTCCTTCCGAATAGTTCGGTATACTAGATCTTTCCCTTTGGGAAAGCTATGAGAACTACATGGCACATCTCGTTCCAGGCATAACTAAAAACACTGTTTTGTCCAAGTTTTTTTTACAGAAATACAACTACTACTACTCACTAGTTTAAATTATTTTAATTGTTCAAAGAATACGGTTTAATAAGCCTTCAAATACATTGACAGAATACACAAAAACCGTTAGAGGACTTCGCTTACGTCACAAGCGACCATGTGCGATCGAAATTTTGGCGAACGTATATCTTATGGGATTGAGCAATCCTATTAGGTTTACGATTCTTGGGTATGAAGATTGTCACAGAACATTAGTAGTGACAATGTTTTTTTGCGTTTGTCACTACCTGGTCTGGTAGAATTCCTAATTGTTATTTGAGAGAAAAAAATTTAATCTATTATAAATAAACTTGCATTATTTTTTTAATTTGTTTTTTTTTGCAAAATGTAATAATAAAACAAATATTTGTTTTTACTTACTTTAATGGTATCTTTAATCCTTTTTCGCAGTTTAACATGATAATTGCACAACTTTTTGTCTCTATTGGTTCGGAGATGTGGGATAAACAATTAAATATGTGTAATCAAACGTTTCTGGCGGCATTCGCATATGGGCAGGATGGGCGCAGAATAATCCATTGTAGCGGTTATTAATAGCAACCTTTAACTGTTTTTAATCAATTTCTTTTATAAGAAATTAATTAGCTCTGAGCTGAAGCTTGGATCACTGCTTCATTAAGTATACATTAAAGAATAATACATTTTTGCTGCGTTTATAGCTTTTATGAAATATTCCAGAATATTCACAGCCTTAATTCGCTTCTGGGCTTACGGATAACCATTTAAATGTAGAAAAGTAACTGAAAATGTTAAGTGGAAAAATGTGTTTTTCTACTGTTGATTACAGGTGTCACAAGAAAAATACAAAATCTAGTCTCATCGGTCAAAAAAATCGATTCTTAAAATATAATTACACTTTCTGATTTCATAAAATGCATGCATTTTCAAATCCTGCATTGATTGTTAACAAATCGCTGACATTTCGCCAATAATGCAATTTGGAGAAGTGAACAGTACAACAGAACAATATGTTAGCGAGATACTGTTTTTTGTCCTCGAAAAAATGGTCAGTTTTTAGTGGTATTGTTTTATTTAACAACGTAACAGCAATAGTAATATTATACTGGGCACTGTGTTTAGCTACATCAGTTGTCAGCGCTCCAAAATTTTCATGGACATAGTATCACTTACAACAGTAGTATAAAAAGTATAGCAGTCTATCGGCAGAAATTCTGCTGTGACATTATTATTATATGTATCTTCAAACAGCCTAATAACTATAAAAGTTGATTTATTTTTAATTTAAATATTATAATTATTGTAATACAGACAACTTGGACATAACATAACAACATGAAATAATCAACAGGAAAACTTTCAGAAGGATGAATAAAAAGAACAATTTTGATATATTATTTCAATATTTAACCAATTTTTTTTTTTTGAAAATGCAACCTCTTACAGAGCATTTAAGATTTATATAAGTCTCCTGAAATAAGTATCGAAAAAATCATAAACCACTATATAGGCAAGTAAAACAGGCTAATAACTAAAGCTAAACTAAACTAAAAATAAACCCTGCTTACCACACTATTTCTCGGAGCGGATCATATATAGTTGAATCAATGAGATTGTTTGCTATTGTACAATTTTGATACAATTTTACAAGCAGATGAAATTACCTAACACATACTAACGCAAAACATCTTGGTGACACAAAATCATCTGTCACTTTTCTTATATCGCAAGTTAATCCATTTTGCTTTAACAATTGAACTCTATCCATCAAAACAAAATTTTCACACATATTCTGAATTCTGGCCTGAAATGCCATTAGGAATTTAAATAAAATCAAATTATTTTGATTTTCCAAATATTTTTTCCACATTTTTTCCGTAAAAACCTCTGCATTACAAATGGAACCAGCTTGTTCGAACACAAATTTATTTTGTAAAGTACATACATATTCAAGGAACGCATCGTCGTCATTGGAAACAGATTTTAATTTTTCTAAGCTACTCTTAACCCTGATGCAATATTTTTCTTCTTCCACAACTGCCTGAAATATAGCTCTAAACATCCAGGATCTAGCCTGACAATTACTTTCTTCTTCGGATAAGTTGAAAATATTAAAATTTCGCCTTTGGCAAGCTAATCGGAGAAAAGGTCTTCTTATGAATCTATAAAATTCATGTTTATGAAATTCCTCCTTAAAGACTAGGCTTGATGGAAAATTTTTGAAATATTCACATCTGTTAGATTCTACCTTGCACTGTATACGATGATAACAACATGGCATAACCACTAATGCTTTTGCTGATTTCATTTTAGCAAATAAATGTAAAATGTCTATACTTAAGTCAGCACATGCATGTAAACCTGTTATACAAATATTTTCTGCCTTATTGAAATGCTCTTCTATCAGTCTTTCTACATCTTCACAGGAATCATCTTTGATATAGATTCTGCAAAATTTGACACAACCTCTCGATGCTGGATGGTATTTTTCCTGATGTCTATAGGCTGCATGTAGGAACTCCTCAGAAGCTTCAAGACCCAACACTTTATAATTATATTTGCTATAAAGGAAGTGAGAAAGATATCCTAGACCGCTACCTATGTCAACAATTAAGTCACATTGATATGCTTGACAAGTCTGTTCAATCAAAGGAGCCAGGGATTGAATTTCATGAATTTTCTTTTTGCTTAATCCAGAATTATGTGGACACACAAAATCAAGCTTTACAGTTGATAGTTTTAATTCTGGTTCAAATGCTTCTAAGGATTTCAAAAAATGTATTAAAGAAGATGGGACTTTATGATCAAATTTTCCCATAAAGATATTTTGTAAATCCTCCTGTGATAGATTTAAAATATAATCTTTCCAAGGAATTGCAATGATGGAAAACTGTTTTTCGACCAAAATATGGGTGTTACGGTAGTTGTAAAGCCATTGATATTTTTCTAAAAATAATAACATTTCCTGTATATAATCATTGCACGTTTCAAATGATTTGGGAATAGCCATTACAACTTAAAACAAAAACAAAACTTAAATGACCCACAAAATACTACAAATTCTGTGGTGGTCTAACTGACTTGCCCTTGATAATACAATAAACCACGGTTAGATCTTGAACTTGAATACCCTCCACCGATGTTAAAAAAAAATGCAGAAAGTGTGTTTCTAAAATAATAATATTTAATTTAATAATAAAACTTTTGAACGAACGTTTATATAAAGCACCATACTTTATTTTAAAAAAGGATTCGCCCCTTAAGTTTCCTATCTCCCATATATATTTAAAAAAAAAATAGGTTTTCTATGGCTACTCTAGAAGGATGTCGGCGATGAACAAGTGTCCACGCTCAATAAAAGAAAAAGAAGACGTTTTATACGGTGGTTTAATTTTGGTAGGGCAAGCACTCTTTCAGTGATAAAAATAAGTGTTGCTGATCTATGGATTCGTTGAACTTTATCCATAACGGCCAATTAATCATCTGTGGATGTTTCCATGAAAAACTGAGGCTGCTGGATGTATATTTGTTGTGCTGTTAGACATTTTATAAAGAAATAATGATTCCAGAGGATATTCAGTCAATGCTAGATAAAATATGTCGGTCTTGTATGTGCGAGCGCGAGGAAATGAATAATATATTTGAAAAAAACGGAGGAGAAACCATGCTTCTCTCTGATATGCTTATGGCTTGCACATCTTTAGTGGTAAATCCTTAATTTCAATTTGCACTTTTCATTTATTTAAGTATTTATTAATTCATTTCATTTTCTTGTAGATTGTTTCTGGGGATGGGTTGCCTAATTTACTATGTAATATATGTCAAAATAAACTCAGTTCTGCTTTTGAGTTTAAGCAGCAGTGTGAGAAATCAGACACAGCATTAAGAGAAGTAACACAAAAAAACGAACATCATCAAAAAATAGATATAATTGTTCAGCAAGCAGTCTACAATGATGATGAGGACGATGTACCTTTGCTTAGGAGAAAAAGAGGACGACCACTAAAATCTGAAATGTCACTTCAGTGTAAATATTGTTTACGAGTCATGCAATCCAAAAAAGCATTAGAAACCCATTTAAGACACCATGCTGGTGATGGCATGAGGTAAAAGATTAATTGTCACATGAGTTTTGTAATTTTCGTTTTTTTTTTTTCTTAGATATTGCCCAATCTGCCCATTAAAATATTCTCGAACAAATCATCTGGTGAGACACATGAAAAAACATGACAAAGAAGGATTAAAACATCAATGCCCTTTTTGTTCTGAGAAATTTGCTATTACTGGTGAGTTATTTAAACACAAGCAATCCCATTTAGAGTATGTAGAAGGCCAAAGTTGTTCAAAATATAGTGAAAAGCACAAATCAAGTGTCAAAGTGGAAATTAAAGAGGAACAGAATGCAGATATCGAGAACTTTGGAACAAATCATACCAGCACGGGAGAGAATGCGTCTGATGTACCAGATGATAAGGATGAGAAGTCACAAGGAGATGCAGATGGAGATAGCATGGATGTACCTTTAAATCAGTTTCCATTTAGTGACGGTGAAGATGATGATGGCAATTTTGAATTTGATAATGAAGATTACAATGAATTGGAAAACAAGGCAGAAGGCAATAATATGTCTAAAGCTAATGATGCAGTTTCGTTTGAGTGCAAAGAGTGTAATAAGGTTATGAATTCTTATACTGGTTTAAGGATACATATGAGGAAGCACAATGGATCAGATCTAGCAAACTGTAAGGTAGTCTTTTTGTTTTTTTTTTCATTATTAATTTGAGATATCCAATTAGAATGCTGCTCACAGCTAGCCCTGGTAAAAATGTTTATAAACAGGTAATGAAGATTATAATTTTCTATCTTTGATTCAAGGTTACAAGTCACAATATCTTAGAGTATTTCAGGCAGTCTATTATGAGTTTAAGCAAATATTTCCAGTAATTTTATATTTTTATTATCACATTATGTATTATCCTGAGTGTCATTATAAACATATATTAACAGGTTTAGGAATATTTAGATTTTTTTGATTTTTTGACATGAATCACAGAATACAGAAAGAGTACAGTTAAGATTGAAAACACTGCGGAAGGGTCATTGAAAATGCTTCTGACTGCCTACTAATTCTGGAAAAGTTTAAAAAGTGATGGTGGCATTGAAGGAAACAAAAGTCTATCCTGGACACCAAAGAATGTAAATTCAGACTGAAATATGCTCTCCCACTCCTAAAGCCTCTGTGACTTAGAATGATGATACCAAACTATTAAAGATACGAGGCCATTTTGAAATTTTGTTTCTGAGACCTTTTTGAACTGTTTCTTAGACTGGGTACCCGGTTAAAGGAATACCGTAACTTTGAAACTGTTTCATATAACTATTTGAAATTGGGATGCTTCTCTCTAGGCTACATTTTTTTCTTACTTTTTCATTGATTATAATTATTAATTACGATTATAATTATTTCTGCTATTATAATGACAGCTTAGAAATTCAGTTAGTTACTTATTTTAGAGACTACTTGCCATTAGATAAGTAGAGGAACTTCCTATAGAACTTTTTTTACCGTAAAATGGTCATATAAGAATAAAATTCAAAAATAAGAGAAAATGAAAATTAGTTAGTGTTGCATGTTGACTATTAGGCACGACACGTCTTTTTTTTTATTTTTTTGACCCAAGAATACTTTTATAATTTCAAAAATAAAATTTATCGAATTTTATTATTTATACTCTGGAAAAACCATATAAAGGGTATAATAGCGCCTTTTTAAAATATAAAAAATGTATTTTTTTTTTGATATTCTAATTTTGTTGAGAATTTTGCAATTTTCTGTTATTGAATCGAAAAGCGTGATCTAGGGGCATGTCTACAAACTAGATATAGACATATCACAAAAATTCTTTTCCTATGAGATCCAAGTTTTCTTAAAATCCCTTAAGTCGTTTAGGAATTATATCTGTTTATTTAAAAAAACACATTGAATCAACCCACCACGTTATCTTAATGGATAGGTGAAAAGTGGTAATCCAAAATTACCAGAATAATGCTTTTTTCTCTTGTTTGACAGCTACAATAAAAGTAGTGATGTAAAATAATTAACTTTTTCTTGATAGATATTTATTTTTAACTTACAATAGGTATAGGTATAACTTTCACAAATTTTTGAAATTCCTTTTCCACATTTTTCTACTCATTCATAAAACGGAACCACTCTGCTCTAAAGGGAATAGATCATAAAAATGTTTTTCTTAATATTTCCAAAACAGGTTGAGACAAAGTTCTAACATTTTAACGTTTTAGTAATTTTGACATGATGAATATGATTATAAAATTATATATTTCAAATTTTAGAGATTGTCGTAACTTTTGAAGGACATAAGTGACTGGAACACAATAACTTTTTGTGGGTTGACTTTTACATTTTTTTCTTACACAAAGGAAAAAGTTGTGCAAAATGGATTTCAAAAATACTCTGTTTAGCATTCCCACCTTATTTGAGAACCTTAGCTGAACGTTTTGAGTTGCTTTTATGTTGAAAAGCGAACCTGAGAGGCATTTCCCACCCTGAGTAAGGTAGCATGACCTCCTCTAATTCTAACCATTATTCGCTTAATCGGATGAATTGGTCCAAATCTAGAGAAGTATCTTTATACCATAATAATACACATCCATGCTTAAACGTTGGACAAACACATTTAGGATCTAGCTTTTACCATCTGGATGACATATCTCATAGTATTCATTTCCGATGTTCGTCTGCAAACAATCTTGCATCTCTGTGCTAAAATTTATGTTGCAGAAGGTTGTTTCGAAGTTTTCCTGTATTCCGGTTTAAGTTCACTATAATTGTTAAAGAAAATTTTGCTAATATTAACCTGTTAAACACAGGATTTATAGGCATTTATAGGCCCGTTGCTTAAAGTCAGTTGAGTAGCCATTGAGGCATTGAGGCATTTTATCCCAGAGAACCAGTTTACGTCAGTTATACTAAATAAATATTAAACTGAAAAAGTTGCTCATAAAACGTGTTGTGCTGTAAACGAAATTATTTACCTGAAATGACGATTGTCAGTCACGGTTAGATAAAAAAAAGTAGTTGGTTTCTTCAGAGCTTAACTGAAACTGGTCGCATTCTACTCTGTACCTGCTTATATATTGTTTGAGGGGGCCGGAGCTAAAGGAGAGGCATGAACATTGTCTCGGATGACTGATTGAACAATGAAAAACCATTACGTTAGTTCCACAGGATATTCTCATCTTAATGGAAAAATGCTTGTCTGGAACATATTTTTCTTATAAGGGTCAAATTTTTGAACAACGTTGGAATGGGTTCTCCATTATCACCAGTCATCGCGAATATATTTATGGAAGCCTTTGAGAAGAAAATCCTCGTCACTTTCCATCAAAATTATGGGAACGCTACATTGTTATTTGGTCTCATGGTCAAGAATCACTTCGAGATTTTCTTAGCTATCTTAACTAAATTAGAAATTAATAATAATTTCTCAGTCTTAGATATATATATATATATATATATATATATATATATATATATATATATATATATATATATATATATATATATATATATATATATATATATATATATATATATATATATATATATATATATATATATATATATATATATATATATATATATATATATATATATATATATATATATATATATATATATATATATATATCAACAGAAATTCAGACCTAACATTGGGTCATTCTGTTTACAAAAAACGTACCTTACCATAATGATACCTTAATGCATGGTCATATCACCATTCGGCCCAAAAATCATCGGTTATCAACTCTCGTGTTTACAGAGCCGTTAAACTATCTCAATCCAAGTCACTGAACCTAGAATTATTACACATTACGTCTGCTCTCTTCTCCAATAATTTCTACATTAGAGATATTAAGCGTTCCATCATAGCAACCCCAGACTAGCCACTGTTGTTCTTGTTTACATTCAAAACATCACTGATCACATATCAAAAATTCTTATGAAGTATAACGTCAAAAAGAGATAATGCTTGTCCAAAAATCTCTGAACATCTTCGATTCATCAAATAAGAAACTCCATTTGAAGTACCAGGAGTTTACAGCATTCCATGCACCTGCGGTCAGCAAGTCCGATTCATCAACATCCCATGCACCTGCGGTCAGCAAGTCCGATTCATCAACATCCGACGAAGGAGAAATTCAGAAGATTTGTAAATAGTAAGAAATGTAAAATTTAAACCAGATTTACCACTTGTCGAAAAATCTCTGTCAACATCTTCGATCAGTTTGAGACATACATTCCATGCATATGCGGCAAAGAATACATTGAAGAAACAGGACGAAAAAATTTTCTTAACCATTTAAACTCTACATACCTTTTACCATTAAATTGGAAACTAATAATTATCTCCCATTCTGGGACATTCTTATTAATAATACCTTAATGCATTGTCACATCATCATCCGGCCCAAAAATTATTGATTATCAACTCTCTTGTTTTCAGAGCCGTAAAACTGTCTCAAAACGATTCAATAAACCTAGAATTAAAACACTTTACATTTGTTCTTCTCTCTAATAATTTCCACATTACATATATTAAGCGCTTCCAAAGAAAATGAATCCGAAAGCAACCCCGCAATTGCAACTGTGGTCCTTTCCTACATTCAAAACATCACTAACCACATTTCAACAGTTCTTAACGTTAAAACCAGACTTTTTTCTAGACCAAAAATCTTTCAATATCTTAGATCCGCCAAAGACACCGTTTGATAAATAGGACGAAAAATATCAACTAGGCTCAAAGAACATGAAAGAGCCTTAAGATTAAGACAAATAAACTGATTAGCAATTGCCGAAAACAATCACGAAACCGGACATAAATTGTGATTGGATAAAACTAAAATGTAATCAATTCTTCTACCACCGAAAAATCCGAGAGTCTATAGAAATCTGTAAGCAACCTAACAATCTTTACCTGTCACCATTATGAGAATCATCCGAGACGGTGTTTATGCCATTCATGTAGCTCCGTCCCCCGCAATTAATATATAAGCAGGTACTGAGTAAAATGCGAGCAAACATGATGAAAAATATCAACTAGGCTCAAAGATCATGAAAGAGCCTTAAGACCACAAATTAACTCATCACTTGCCGAATTAAGGTCTCGAAAGCGGACATCAAATTTTATTCGATGAAACTAAAATTCTTGCATGTAATTCTTGACTAATAGAAATCTATAAGCAATCAAACAATTTTAACCACGACTTTTCACTAATATGGGAATGCGTCATCCGAGACAATGTTCAGGTGTAGCTCCGTTTGCGAGGCGGCTTCTTTAAAAAGAAATTCGTTTTTCTACTATATTTGCAAGTTTTTTGCTTTCTCAAAATTCTGGTTGAACGTAGCCTTAACGATTTGACATTATTTTAGCTATGCGATAAACTGTTTACCAAGAAAAGTCACCTAAATAGACACTTACGGACTCATGGCGTGATAAGTGCAAAACTTTCTAAAATTAAAGGCGACAAAAAGGTAACGCGACGCGATCCGTACTCGCCCAAACTGTATTAATCGAACCTTTTTCAGGTTATGGAATGCGAGTTTTGCGACAGAAAGTTTAAGTACCGGAAAAGTTTCTCCCATCATATGCGAGTCGAGCACGGCATGTCGGACAACGATAGCGATTTGGACGATACCAAGGATAATAACGAGCAGGCGGACAATGTTCTCTCCAACAATAACGGCGGTGCTGTCAAAGAAGACCGAGGTTTGTGGGTTCGCAAAGCAAAATTATGCGTATATCAGAAGGTTGTTATATGGGCTCCTTTTATATATAAGGTGACCCATGCACTTTTGCCGCAATCTTTATCATCATCTGCTTTGGATTTTTAAATGTAACACATTTTATCTGATTGCGGTTATGAGTACGCATAAAACCTTCCATACCTGTACGTAGTGATTGCGGAATTGCATGACTTTCTCTGTTTTTATTACTCATTCTACAATGCAATATACTGACTATTGCTTTCCTGGAAAAAGACTAAAGAAATACAACAATATCGGAAACTCTAACAAATACCATAGCTAAAGGAAACTTTTTATTTTAATAAATTTTATTAAATTAAAATACTCTGTATAACATTTTAAAGATGGGAATTTAACAATTTGTTTCTTATATATTCCGATGCTCTATGGTTCTAAAATATTTGTAACGCTGCGGCGTTCCTGCTTTGAAAAAGTAGCATCAACATTGAAATTTTAAATGCGACACCATTACACCATGCGTTTTCAGATCCGCTTGCATAATACGTTCCTATACCTATCTTTAGTGGTTTTCAAGAAATTAATTATTTTTTATTATTTTCTTCATTTTTCGACTACAGCTTCAATTACATTTTTGCTACTACGACACTGGAGCAGTAGAAAGTTAAAATTTTTGACGGAGTTTAGGGAGGTACTGTACATTGTTTCTTAATATTGATATTAGTTATATATTATGCAGGGTTTGTCCAAACTAATTATTTGACTATGAGAGAAAATTAAATTCCCTTTCGAATATGTATCGTCCTTATATCTGGTAAACTGGATTACTTTAACATAATTCTTTTAGGTGGTCATCAAATATCCATCTTGTGTTAAATAATTCTTCTCCCAGTTCACAGTTCAATAAAGATTTACTCATTGTTTGTGGTGCAAATTTTGTCGACGAAATCGGTTCAAAATGGAAGGAAACCAGTATTATAATGCTGTTTTATAAAATTTGTTTATTATGCATTGACAATGCAACCACATTATAGCCAGAACATGCAGAAAATTTAATGAAACGAATCCTTATTTACTACACATAAACAAGGGAAAATTTGACATTTAACAACATTCAAAACTGAGTTTAATTTGCTTATAGAATTTGCGAACTAATCTCGACATTAAGAAATTCTGTTCAATACTTCGCTATGTCCAAAATTTTAACTTTGTACTGGCCCTAGAGTTGTAATAATTGCTGTGGTCGGGAAAATAAAAAAAATGATTATTTTCTTGAAAATCACTAAAAATAAGTATAGTAACGTATTATTCAAAAATAATCATAAAGTATTAGCGGATCAGAAAATGCAATAATATATATGGTATCGCATTTAAGATTTTAATCTTGGTACTACTGTTTGGAGAAGCCGCAACGTCGCCGCGTTAAAAGTATTTTAGATCGATAGAGCATCGCCGGTTATGGAACTAACCAAGTAAATAACAATCCAATGTACCATTCGCCGTAATCGTCTGAGGTACCATGACCTGCGAACCACTCCGTATAGTAGAGATATAGAGGCCCTGTCTATGCCGGTAATACAGGAACTTCAAAAGTAACTATGAAAAAAATTGGATTGAATATTCTACAATTTTTGAAATTGCTTTTATCTGTCTACTGTCTAAATCACATTTTTTAGGAAAGCTGAAAAGTCGGGTCTTCTTTGTAGCCAATTACAAAATTGTAATCGCCTTTCGTGATCACTTGGATGTAATTTTTGGGAGACATGAATTTTGTAGCAATTAAAACCACTTTTATTTAGATGTTTCCAAGCACTCATATGAGAAGAAGCACCTACATCAGCGTAAACTTGGCGTATGGATTTTCCCAGGTTCACAATTATCTGCAAGATGCCAACTTTTATCGAAAGGAAAAAAAAATCACATTAATCTTACCTCATTAACTAAATTTTTTTTAGTTCCCTCGTCCATTCTGTCTTTATGTTTTGTCTTAGTTTTTCAAACGAAGCAAACCCAACTCAGCGAGATTTCTATCTAATAATTTAAACAAAATTCGATAAGGTTGTCGTCTTTCAGAATACATGTTCAAATACATTTCCGATGTCTTGACACCGTTTCTATCGTTTTTATAATAGAGTTTTACCATGTCTCGTTTGTCTTCATTGGTAAAGGCCATTTTTAACGACACAGTAATGGACTAGATATTCAAATGTCATTGACAGATTTCAAAATTTATAGCTTACTATGGTATAAAAGTTTTTGTTATGTTTCGTTGTTTCGCAAAATGTATATGCATGTACATTTTTGCATTTCGCCCTTTAACTGTGTGCTACGTTCCGAATTTATTGACGATTTTTAGTTATTCTGAGGAAATATTAATGCGATTAATTAAATCTCTTGGCTGTCTGGCTAAATTCTGAAAGCGTTTCTAATTTTCTATTTTTTTACGAAATTGGGAGTTATTTCAAATACCGTTAAATATTATAAAAATATAAACTTTATTTAAAATTGAAATTGAAATAATACAAAAAATTCAAGATCAATTTACTGCAAATGGCTTTTGTATATAATTTTTTTATAACACTCAGATTTAAACCGGCCTTAAACCGGCTACCCAGTACAATTTTTACACAGAACACGTTTACCATTTCGTCGTGCAACATTACACGGGATTTTCTGTTACTCTGTAGACCAGGCGGATGTGGATCAACAGGCGACTTACGAGTTTGCCGAACCGAACGTCCCAAAGGCCGAACAGGTCGATAACGACGAAGAAAAATTCGTTATCGAGAATAACATAGATCGGGAAGACGCGAGTAAGAAATCGAAGAAAACGAGGGTGCATACATGTCACGTGTGTCTCGGTGAGTTTGCCAGAGCGAATCACCTGACCAGGCACATGACCCTGCATAGGGCACTCCTAACTCACAAATGCGATCGTTGCGATCAGGCGTTTTTCTCGGACGAACTGTTAAAAAAACACGTGGAAGAGCAGCACATTAACAAGCCCTACGTCTGTACAGTATGCAACAAGCAGTTTAGCCGCGGGGAGCATCTGATACGTCACTTGAAGTTGCATCAGTCGACGAGCGATGAGACGCAGCTCAAGTGCTCGATCTGCGAGGCGGTGTTTCCGAGGTAAGATAGCATAACTCTTTATTTTAGCACTTTAGTAGTCAGAACTAAAACTAACAGGATTGCTTTCGCAAAATTTCGGTAGCGATTGTTTCGAATGGACGCTGCAACAAGAAGACTTTCGTTGGTTGTTAATTAAATTAAATCAAAAACTATTCAGTACACATTAAAGATCTCTATATTTGATGCAAACTATTCAGCCGTCAAGGAATATATGAACATTATGAACTAGGGAGAAAAAAATTCAGAAATTTCATATTGAACTTCAAAAAAAGTATAAATGACAACAAAACTAACTCATGTAATAAGGGTAAAACTATGTAAAATCTAATCTAATGAAATGAATTGGCTCAGAGCATATTATATAGGATCCAACATTGATTGCCGAAATGTTTGGTAACTATTTCAATCTTCCACATGCGGCTTATATTGACTCAATTAGCAACCCATTAAGAACTTTTCCCATCAGCATTTCTGAAACCTGTAGATTAATAGATCTTTAAAATTTTAATGAATCTTCCTAATAAGTTTTCTGCTGGTATTGATGAAATACCGGTTTATGTATGTGTCGAAGGTGCTTGAGAGGATAATTTATTCTAGAACTGTGAATTTTTTAAAATAAATCAATATGGATTTTTACTAAACAAATCAGACAATTGCTTTTATAACAGAAAAAGACGACAAAAAGGAGAAGGTTGCTGGGCCACATTTTTACTTGTCTAGGGGCCTTGGACAATATCGATCACCATTTGTTGTTAAGGAAAGTTTGGTTTTGAGGTACTTGCGTGTCTTTGTTCATACTATAAGACAGCAGATAGTGTATGGTTCAGAACAGACAATTTTTGAGAAATCATTTAAGATTTAGGAATTGCTTTCTAGATGTGAACTTGGACAGAAAATCAGTCCCAGAGGGTAAAATTATTAAATTTCTTTGAGTGACTATTGACCCTCACTAAGTTAAGAGGATCACGTAAACTCTCTGTGCCCAGGCCTAAAGAGTTTTTTTAATTCGCAGGCGTAGAGAGTCGTTTTTCATAGTGCATCAGAACTGTCTATTTTGCTTGTGTTCAGTCTTGCATTTCACATGGCATACTGTTCTGGGGTACTTCCAAGCATGCAATCAATGCTTTCAAGACCCAGAAAAGTACGTTGTCAAGCTACATCCCAGGTCTTCTGCAGTTTCTTCTGTATATTATCGCTGTCGCTGGTTATGTTCGCAAAGAGAAATCCTAATAATCTTTAGCATCAACTTTGGCCTTGTGCCAAGTCATGATGACTGGCCCTATTATCGCTTGGTAAAGCCATAATCATAGTTAAAGAGTGCACCATTTTGAGGCTGAGATAAATTGAAATCATTTTTGTTTAAGGTTTTGCTTAAAGGTGGTACAGAATGATTCAGTAGAAATACTAAGAGATTGTCGAACTTGTCTTTATTTTTTGATTAGATAATCAAATAAGGACTCAAAAATCCAGTGAAAAAAACGGATTTTGGGCGACATTTCCACTTTACGGTTCTTATTAATTTTTAATTATCTCGAATTTAGGATGCCAAATGATATTTAAAATTAACATAAAATGTTATTATTGATGTTTATTATTTTTTTACTATTCCTTCCAAGGGATCACCCTGTTGCTGATATTTTTGCGTTTTGATGTGCTTATCTGTTTTAAATATTGAGTATTATCACTTTTTTTCCATTAATAATTACATTTCATCATTAACTTGGTTACTAATCAATTGTTAGAGACAAACTAGTTTTATTAATTATTCACGTATTTAAAAAAAATGTTTACAGAGATAATTCATTTAAAATTATAAAGATTGCCGCTTAATATTTATAATGTCCAAGAGTTCGAAAGCAACCCCACACTTGTCTCTGTTATCCTTCCTCCTTACATTCAAAACATCACTGACCATATATCAAAATTTCTTGAGAAATATAACGTTAAAACAGGATTACAACATCCTAACATGATAGGCCTTAACACTACTGCAAATAAACTCGTCCGCCGTTGCACAATCATGAAACCGTACATGAAATTTTATTCAATAAAACTAAAATTCTTGCATGTAATCAATTCTTCTACCCAAGAAAAATTCTATCTTAGAATGTATAAAAATATATAAGCAACCAAACTAGCAACTAGGAACCAAGTTTTTACCTTTCACCAATATGGGAATTAGTCATCCCAGACTCTCTGAAGAAGCTAATAGGATTATTCAGGAAACGTTAGCAAGTTACATTTATCAATAACCGACGCAGGAGGAATGCAGAAGAATTGTAAAAAGTAATAATCTTTTTTTCCAAATTTCTGTGACTCCCGTTTCCCTATTACCGATCGTCATCGTCATTACTGGGATACTCGGCAAAAAGGTAGGAATAAAGTTTATTTAGTAATTACCTGAAGACATCCCTTCAATGCGGAAAGAAATAATATTGACAATCTAATTGCAGAATATCTCATTTCATCAACATTTATCATCGCCTATGACCTATAAATAGCAAAATTGTATTCTTATTGTCCTCATTAGATCGGATCACCTCGCCAGGCACACCAAAGCTCATTTGATGCAAGATAAGAGACACGTCTGTATAGAATGCGGCAAAGCGTTCAACAGGTTGGATAATTTGAAAACTCATCAGAGGATACATTCGGGCATCAAAGACACCTCCAAGTTGCATTTATGTGTGTATTGCGGAAAAGAATTTAACAATTCAAGCAATATGGTAAGTTAACCGGAAGCTTTTATTTGCGTTCATTTATTATATTGTATGTACTTGTATGTATTGTATGTAAACCGACTCTGTATATAATTTTTAGAATGACTGTCTATTGAACGTACTCCTCATGAAGAAGTTAGGTACAAAAAGATTTACATTTATTGAAAAAATAAAATTAACAACTCAAAAAATATCAAATTAAAAAAAGAAAACTCAAAATCTGGTATTACAAATCGCTCTAGTTTTTTCCCTATTTTGAACACGTTAGCAATGTAAAAAGAAACATTTCATTTAAATTTGATGCTGGATGAATTTTGTAGAAAATGCAACATTACTGTTACCACCACCGTTTAGTATAATAACCTTACTAATTTACCTCAGAATTATCAAAAAAACTTGGAGACCAACTGATAATCAAACAGAAAAATTATTATATTTTATTATCATATATATATATATATATATATATATATATATATATATATATATATATATATATATATATATATATATATACATATATATATATATATATATATATATATATATATATATATATATATATATATATATATACATATATATATATATATATATATATATATATATATATATATATATATATATATATATATATATATAAAATAATAACATTTTCCAAGCGTCCTTTCATGGATCCGTCTCTGAGCGTCCAGTATCGTTTTCTTCAAGATCCCTACTTTAACAAGTGAATATTTTGAAGTTTTATAAACGAGATGGCGTTGAGTTTCCTTAGGACAGATTTTACGAAGATCATTTTTGTGAAGTTTTATGAATGATACTTATATGTCGGCGTCCTTTTATAGAGGTACCTTGCTAGCGTCCAATATACACGGGAAAACTTTTACATTTCAGCATCCTAGCGTCCGTATGTATATTTTTCATTTATTGGGCAGATTTCTGAGCGTCCGAGCAACGTTGCCCGATTGATTGTGTATTAAAGTACATATAAATAGATATGGTCTTTAGAACACGCTCCTCCTTTTTAACATGACGGTGCACAGTCGAGCGGGTATAAGGCGATTCATGTTTTCGCTATATTTTGAAAAATGTTTTGTTGCTAACTGTTTTATTTGTTATTTTATTTTTTTTTGTAGATTTGGTAGTTTTTAAAGCTCTTTGCTAAACTTAATTTCTTTGTGTAGATGTTTTCTTTAACACGTCGCCCGATTTTGGAAAGTAATTCTTGAATTTTTTGATTCTTGAATATGTTTGCCAGAAATATTGCACATGTATTTACGTTAGCCAGGCGCTGCTTGGACATAAACCTAACCAATAATAATAATAATAATTGAAAGCAAATACTATTATTAATTTTTCAAAGAAACTTCCACAGGCTACTGTAATACTTTCTACAAAACTTCTGGTTTCCTCCTGCGCCGGTTTTTGCTGAGTCGAACTTGCTGACGTTTCGCCAATCTTCCTGTTGGCTTCTTCAGGGATTGAGTGAAACTGGCTCGCATTTTACTCTGTACCTGTATATATATTGTTTGAGGGGGGCGGAGCTAAATGAGGGGCATGAACACCGTCTCGGATCACTGATTCCCATGTTGGTGACCGGTAAAGACCAGAGTCGCGGTTAAGATTCTTTGGTTGTTTAGAGATTTGTTTGATTACATACAAGAATTCGCCAACAGCTGATGAATTTATTTGTCTTAGTCGTAAGGCTCTTTCGTGTTCTTTGAGCCTAGTTGATATTTTTCGTCCGGTTTCTCCAATGTATTCTTTGCCGCATATGTAACCCAGAAGTTTTGTAAAAAGTAAATACTAATATTTAAATATTATTTTTTTAAATTGTTTACTAAGTTCTTGACAGTTGACTTATTTGCAGATCAATAAATTATGGTACCAAACTAAGAAAAACTGTTAATTTAGAAATTATGTAATATAATTTCAACTGGCCAACTGAGGCAATATTACTGTGTTGTTTGTGCTTAATGTTGGTCTAAAATGGGCCGATGTTAGTTATTTGGAATAATTAGAAGTTACTATTTTAGTTTAATTAAAAAAAATTATAAAGAACACAGACAACTGCGATGAAAACGGCATTCGTTACTCGTTAAAATTAACATTTTCTTCAGAAGGCTATTTACAAATCTTCTAGATCCCTTCTGCATCTTTTGTTTATAAATAAAGCTAGCTGACGTTTCACCAATCATCCTGATGGCTTCCTCAGAGCTTAAGTGAAGCTTGCTCACATTCTATTCTGAACTCACTGATATACTGTTTGAGAGAGGCGGAGCTACAAGAGTGACATGAACATTGTCTCGGATTTCCATATTGTTGAAAATCAGAGTCGCGGTTAAGATTGTTTGGTTGTTTAGAGATTTCTATTAATTTTCGGATATTTCCCTGGTAGAAGAATCGATTACATTGATTAATTTTTAATTTGATCGAATGAGATTTCGGTGTCATTATTGTTTTCGGCAACTGCTTATGACTCTATTTGTCATAGTCGTATATTTTTTGTTCTGTTTCTCTGGTTAGTTTTGACATAGCTCTTTCAGATATATTGCAATTCGGGAATCTGGAATCAAACATATTCAACCAAATTGAAAAATGCTTGTCTGGAACATATTTTTCTTGTAACGGTCAAATTTATGAACAGGACCAGCTGTGAGATCTCCAGAATGGTTGGCGAAACGTCAGAAAGTTCGATTTATCAACCACCGACGCAGGTAGAATGCAGAATATTTGTAAATAGTCTTACATTATTCTGTGAAAGTTTCCTTTAAAAAAAAATCTTCAGAAATCTTTGCTAAACAAGTTTGATAAACGCCATATTAGTTTATTTGGCACGAATGGAGCGAGTGCTTAATAAATGAGTGAAAGAAGAAGTTTACAAGGTGTTGCATACTATATGCGTGTACCTTGACCATCAGAATCGACAAACCAAAGCACTGGCTAATATATCACCGGAAATATCCGCAGTGGCTCGCAGCCCTACGTAACGTCTTTAAGCCACACTGTATAATGCGTATTTTAGAGCAGGAATGTAAAAGGGGGATTTTTTAAAATCAATTTGGGAAAAAATTTAGATGATATCCAAGGAACTAAAGAGACACTTTTTATCCCGAGGCAAAACTTTATAGAGAATATGTCGAAAATCACCTAAAAAGATACTTTATTTCAGAGGTTCATTGTTAGGATTTAAGTTTAGGTACATTAAAAAAAGTAATATATGAAAATATTGTTCAGTGGCAGTGGTGATACATTATTGTACTTTACTTTTCATCCCTCACATTCCTTGTTTAACTTCATTTTTATTTATATCTTAGGTCACAATGAAGAAAAATAACTATTAAAAAGAACACTTTTATCGAATAACTTTTATCAAAGTTCATTTTAAAATAATAATTCTTACTAAAATATAGAAATGTTACTTTTCACATTTATTTTGGTTTGATTAAAAGCAAAAGTCAACAACTTAAATCGTTCAATAAAATAGTTCTTACATGTTGCGCACTTTAATAGGCGACCTATTAATATTAATGAAATATTATTAGACGATAAAATCAAAATATTTTATTACCTAATTATTTAGATAAGTATTTAGCAAATGATATTTTAATTTGCAAATTCCAACAACTTCTTTTCCTATTGCATTAAACAACCATTTATGTTCAGTATTTCTATAATATAAATATTTATATTCGATATTTTTAATATTTCGAACACCGTTCTAAATAGTATTTAGCAGAAATTATCGGAAGAAAGTAATAAATCTAAAAATGTGCCCAAAAATTAAAAAAGATTCAGAAGTTATTGCATAGTATTCGCATATAAAAAACCAAAACTTGTTGGTGCCATTTTGTTTAATTAAAACATTTTAATAATGTTGCTTCATGGATCTGAAGATTATATAATGCAATAATAATAAAATAATCGAAAAATAGCAATTTGTGCAAGTAAATAAAAAATATAATTTTTTTTAAGTAATCGAGGATGGCTCGGTTGGTAAGTCGTTTGACCTGCCAACTCGACTTGCAGTAGAAGTTGTTGGTTCGATTCCCACCTGGAGTCTTGGGTGTTGTTATTGCGTTTGTTGTCCGACTTTAACGACTGACTTCAATCTAGTCAGGCTTCTAAGTAAAGACAGACGCGAGTTCATTGAATTAAGGTAAAAAAAAATGCAACCGGCGGACAAATAGTTGAAAAAAGAATAACTTTATGCAATGAGCGGATTTTCTCACGAAGAGAGCAAGCGAAACAAAAGAGTTTGGCGACGTGTGTCACACAATATTGTTTTAAATTCTAATATCATATAAAGCGTACGGCATTGGCAACAGGATATATATCTTGTAAAATATACAGAGACTGGGTCTCGCGCCTCGATTTTGCCTTAGAAACAATAATCACTGAACTGACTTCAGCGTTTATTAAGTTTTATGTTCTTCGCTATCCTCTTAACAGCGCTAAATTCTGTAAGCAAATACAGAAATTGACATATATATATATATATATATATATATATATATATATATATATATATATATATATATATATATATATATGTATATATGTATATATATATATATATATGTATATATATATATATATATATATATATATATATATATATATATATATATATATATATATATATATATATGTATATGTATATATATATATATATATATATATATATATATATATATATATATATATATATATATATATATATATATATATATATATATATATATATATATATATATATATATATATATATATTGTAAACCAGATTTATCTAGGTATATATATATATATATATATATATATATATATATATATATATATATATATATATATATATATATATATATATATATATATATATATATAAATACTAATAATATAAACTAACCAAATTGGTTGGCAATAGCGTCAAAAGTAGGAAATGCGTGTTAGTTTTTCTTGATTACTCGAACTTCAATTACTCGAATATCTTGATAACTCGAACGAAA